CAAGGAAACTAATAAAGTGTGTTTTTGAGTAAAATATTGATAGCTTAGTACAAAATAAATAAATTTGCCAAGTTTGATCAAAATATATCCATAAACAAGCAAACTACAACATTTGACAATATTCTCCATAAGAATAACATGGGAATTTTAAATATACAATTTTTTTAATTTTCTCCGTTACTAATAATCGAACAAAAATACTTTTATATACTAAATTATTTGTTTTTTAAGCTCTTTAAAAAGGTCTAAAGAGAAATCGGGAAATTTTGTGTTTTGAGGGTCAAAAGTGAGAAAAACCAATTTTTACCCCATAAAACCCCCCGTAAAGCCCCGTTCCCATAGTCCGATCGTGCTGGTTCGCGAACTCATTCAAGTGTATCCCGCTTTACACCTTTAAACCAAATTTCATCAAAATCGGACAAAAATTACTCAAGTTATCGCGTTCACGGACGTATATATATATATATGTCTATATATATATATATATATATACATATATAAAAATTTGAACGAATGGTGTTTTTGGCCTCTGGGGACATCAAAATGAAAAAGTAAATCGGTCCCGGGTCTAGGTCTTACCGTGCCACCTACGGTAATAGCTACTTCCCTATAGGGAAATTCGCTAAAAAACATGGACTGGCACGTGCAATCCTTCCTTTGATGGTGTCTATCCCTTTACCTTATCTATAGTTATGCAAAGACAACTTTTATGCGAAATAGTTTTTAAATCATTTCTGACGATAGTTGGTCAATTAATTTTACTGTGATAGTGTACTTGTACAAGTGAGGTAAACCAATCTTAGCCAATGTCATTAATTACGCCCTGCTTACCATTTAAGTTTTAAATAAATTTGATAATAGCGCCTTTTTAGCATGAGTTTACGATGTGACATACGAGAAAGGCTTAATGAGTTTAACAATTCTAATGGATTAACGACGGATATTTGGATTTTTTTGCATAACGGATATTTTTCCCTCTCTTCATAGAAAACCCAATGAAAACTACAATAAAACATTTCCTGTCCAGGTAAAACCTTTACGAAGGCGAGGCCGAATTTCCAGAAGCCGAATATTTGTTAAAAGCCACAGTAACTTTTAAAATAATTTAATTTTAAGATCAAAAAATAAAACTCTTTTACAAACAAATGTTGTTAAAGTGTGCCTAATCCTTTTTAATAAAATTTACACATAATACTACTAAATTAAAAAAAACAATTTTCTTGCTGTTGTATTCTTAAGCTGTGAAACCGTAGATGTGCGCCTTCATACCGGTGAAGGCTAGTTCCTTACAGCACAGCACAAGTTGTAACAGGAAAAAGGTTTGAAGGCTCATTCGAGGACTACAATAACTGAATCGTACATCGTTCATCGATCAGATTGTAAATAAATAATGTAGTAGTAGTAAATAAAAGTTGTTTAAATCAGACTAATTTTCTCCTGATGATGTCATACAAACGGTGAAATGTGCATCGGTCTCCATATAACAGGTCAACAACCTTTCTACCATAATTAAAGGGTTATGCTTTATTATAATACTGTACTGTAGTATTATTACGTACCGTTCTCTTTCTTCTGATATTCTTGTACATCTTTCTTTCTTTTCCGCTATACACCCTATAGTTATTTTAGTGGAAAATTACACAAAGCACAAATAACTATAAGTTTATTATTTTATTCAGTTTAAACTATTCTACTGGTTGTACTTTAAAACGCATCCCAAATTACAAGTATAGCGAGTCGCTGTTTGAATAGACAAAATAAGCTCATAAGCTTGTAGCCTAGCTTATTGGTAATCCAATAAGACCAATTTATGTCACTAAACATGTGTTACAGTTCATTTAACGTTTAAAACCTCACGACTAAACACACAGCCTGCTTGAAGAAGGAATTTTCAAAACTCGATGATTATATTGATGAAACGCCAAAACCTGCCAAAGTTAATTAAGTCACGGATTATCGGTCTTGTGGTTATTTCCCTGTGAGCGAACAGCGTAATTTTCCTCATCGATGAACTCTGCCACAGATAATTACTGCAATAATTAGGTTATCCATTGTTTGGCACACGGTAGCGTGGCCGAGCGGTCTAAGGCGCTGGTTTAAGGCACCAGTCTCTTTGGAGGCGTGGGTTCGAATCCCACCGCTGCCAGGAAAATTTTGAAAATAAGCATTGAAATAACTTTTGACATTATTAGAACAATATAACTGCAGCTTCCCTTCTAAAAATAATATGTAACTGATCTAGGGTAACTTAATTTAGTGTTTTTCACCACACTATGATGTTTTTGGCTGTATTACATACGTTAATTGGTGGCTGAAAGTTACGTTTTGCTGGCCATGCCAGCTGTCATCGTAATTTGGGGACCGAGCAGGTTTTTACAGGCCGGGGCCGCAAAATCAGCTGTCCGCTTACTTACTTAAAACATGAATGCATTTTAAATACACAATCAAAATCCATAGCATTCCAATAGAATTGTGTTATTGTCAACGTTGCCTAGCAACTATTTATTTTTATTTTTGCTGATTCCTCAAATTATTTCTTCACATAACCTTAAAGTTGTAGTTGTGTTGACTATTAGTGTGCATTATTACAGTGGTGAATAGTGGTAATAGGGTATAGTGTGGTGAAAAATAGCGTTCGTACCACCGTTCGTAGCGACCGAAATGGTTTTGCAGCTCTCGATCGATTTAAGTTCTCGACTTCGTCTCGAGCTTAAAAACTATGTCGAGCCGGCAAAACCTCATTTTCGGCCCTAGGTACGAAATATACTATTTTCTGATTCAATATTTCATACACTAGGAATTTGTTTCCTGCAGTAAATAGTCGTATTCATAGAAGATTTTTGGACTGAATTCGCATGGATGCATGCCCAACATTCAAGCGTTTGAAAAAAGTAATTAAATTTTACACATATATTCTTACATGAACTATTTTACATCACATATTTTTTATAAGTGCTCTTTTACATATCTTCTTATGCTATACCGCACTATGTTTTTGGTTATTGGTGATGAAAATTTTAAACAAAACATGCTTTCTAAACTTCAATACTTTTATGGAATTCATGTGATTCGGTTGAACATTTTATTGGTACTATAATGAATCCTGGTATTTAACCTGGTATACAAAATCCTGTGGTTATTCATGCAAGAGAGCATTCACAATATTTTCAACAGTTCTATTCACTAAGAGGAGTAAGAAAATTAGCCAAAGACGCATCTCAAGCTCATAAATTACCGTAATACGCAAATCTAAAATACAATCAGGTCTAAATTTGAGAAGGTAAATTATGTATTTTTTTTATATAAGAGCCTTTGACACGAGTGATAAACACATTTTATTTATTTGTTTTGTTATAGTTCCCGAAGAAGGCTTAAATATGGAATTTTTGTGATAAAAAGTTTCTACAATAAAAAGTGTGTTAATAGTTCTTTTTTCTATGAAAAAGCCTTTTGGTAATACCATAGACAAATATTGTTTATGGTAATAATACGAAGAAACAATATAATAATTTTAGCAATACCCTAACTCCAAATAAATATTTTTTTCATGCCGTTTCAAATCCCATACAGCCGAATTGCGATTTTGAAAAGACAATGCAGAATGACCTCTTCGGTGGTATAGGATTTTATACAAAGTTAAATATTGGTGTTAATATTAGTATTAATAAAGAATTGTTGATTTGTGACCTAAGTATGATAGCGCTAATCCTGTTGATTGATTGAGTAATTGGTGTTAATTTAATCAACCACGCTTACTTACTCTGGCCAATTCATCATTGACCTTTATTACGTGGGATTAAGTCACTAATTGAACAACAGATGATCTTCTAATTACAACAAAGTAGCTCAACTAATTTGTTTGTAATTACTACATTTGATAAGCACAAATTAAATCTAGCTGATCTAGCTTTTTGCTTTTCATGGGAAAACAAGTATCTGTTTTAAACCAAATCTGTTCACACGGTATGAACGTTCGTTTTCGTATTATTAATTAAACCATGTTGGGATTATTTTACCATATTCAACCCATGGCATAAATATCAATTTTGTTATTTCAACCTTTTTATTATTCGTTTGGATATTACTATTTATGGAGTGGCTGGACTTTTTTTCAATTGAGTAAAGACGCTTTATTTAAATTTGGATTTTCAGTAGCAGCACAGGATAAATACCTAGCAGCTAGCATAACCAAGACCTAACAAGTGCGATGTTCCACCAACTCCAGCCACCTAATTTGTCGTTCGTGTACCATTGGGAAAATGTATAGATTTTCTTAAGGTTACAAACAACATCGTAATACAATAACATTTATATTTTAAGGAGAAGGGTTTGGACCATTATCTTACAATAATAGTCCAGTCATTGAGTAGTAGAAGTTCAACAAAATTGTTTTAAAAGGTTTCTCAACGGATTTTATTGCTTTTGCATCTCTACACAACACAAAAAAATCTACCGAAATCTGTCTTGGGGAAGTTAATTATATTGTTTGTGAGGAACCGCACCGAAAGCACCGAATGTAAGGACACGAATGCTGATAAGCTGGGTTTGTGATCTACCTATGAATAAAATTTCACCCCAGTCGGTTCAATCAAACACATCAACACTGTAAATTAATTATAAAGTGGTATAAACCATTGACAAAAAGGATTAAATATATACCGTCAGCTGTGCTGCTGTAACTATAGGTTCTGGCGCACACCGCTGGAGCGTACGCGCTACGTAAATACACGGTGCTCCCAGCGGTGTGCGCCAGAACCTATGGTAACCATGGTAACCACAGCATGGCTGACAGTCTATATTTAATTCATTTTGTCAATGTATAAACTTAACACTCAAAGCAAAGCTTGGCCTCCATATGATCACGTGACCATTACAACACGTTTTCGTCATCTTATTCATGCGAATGCTAATTATAAGCTAAATTACCGTGGGAATCAGCGTGCAGTTTGCATTGCCCAGTAGCCTTTGCTTAGTGAATGTTCACGCACCTCTACGTACCACTTTCTGTGTGCGGTTGGTTGTTTCATTGACTACAGATACGTTTCACTACCTTTGTGATATGTGAGTGTGTTTACATGTGTATTGTTTGTTTGCAATCGGGTAGTGGCTATAATCTGACAACTTTATAAATAATTTAGTTCAAAATAAGTTATAGTTATTAGGTGTTTGCTTTTGTTAAAATATTTTCAAAATTAGTTGGTGAACCATTAATGAAAATTTTGCAATACGAGTTTTGAAGTGAATAAGATGAATATCAGACTTACCTTGATAAAAATATTTAAAAGTGCATATAAGCATATGAAGTATAGAAACATGAAACATAACTAGATAAATTGGTAACAAGATAGTTAACAATAATATGAACAAATTAAAAACGGAATAGCTCAACTGTATGTACAGTATAAATTGTTATCATAGATTGTGGATACTCCACAAGGTATTTACATGCTCTATGTTAAAACAGTTTTGTGTTAGCCAGGATTAAGAAAGAAAAACGATTTTTAGTAACCTAAACTAATACACCAAAGCGTATTACCTTCCATCCTCTACCACTATAAGTTTGTTCACCATTCCCTACACCATATATTTTTCAACTGTTTCTAGCCTCCACCACAGGCTCTTTCCTTATAGATTCCTGTGTGGCTAACCTGTAGCCTCTACCTCAGGTTCTATGTGGTCCATCTCCATGCCTTTACACCAGCTTTATGTTGTTTGTCTTCAATCCTTGACCACAGACTCTATAAGTTTGTTATCCATCTTCTACCTGCAACATAGATTTTGTGAGTTAAGTTTCTAGCTTCTGCCACAGACTATATCCTTATAGACTCTTGTGTTCCTAGACTGTAGCCTCTAACTCAGGTACCCTTAGCTGCACCAGCTTTATGTTTATGTCTTCAATCCTTTACCACAGACTCTATGAGTCTGTTATTCATCTTTTACCTACAACATAGATTTCGTGGGTCAAGTTTCTAGCCTCTGCCACAGCCACTATCCTAATATATTCTTGTGTTTCTAGCCTGTAGCCTCTAATTCAGGCACCTCTTTATTTTTATGCCATCAATCCTTTACCTTAGACTCCGAGTCTGTTCGTCATCATCTACACCAAATATTTTGTCAGCGTTTCTAGCCTCTACCACAGGATCTGTACGTCTAACGTCTACCCTCTACAACAGTGTCTGTACGTCCTACCTCTAGCCTCTACCCAGGCCCTCACACACAGTTCACTGTCTCGCACATCTTGTATGATTGAGGTAATCATGTACTCGGGCAAGGTCCCGCCGCTTCATTAAACTTGGATCTACGTGCTCAGCCTTTATATCGTAGAGATTCCTCAGTGCCGGAGATGCGAAGGTTGGTTCCGTCTTCACAACTCGTCTTCATCTCGGTGATATATTTGTTTTGAATATTTCTTTGTGCATACATGTATGTATTCTTAGCTTGATTTGTTTATTATATTAAACGAATATTCCTTTCTTTGATTTGAGATTTTAGGGGTTAGTGCCCAAAAATGTTTATTGTGTGTTTTTTTATAAATAATCATTTGTTTATAGTGCAAACTAGTTTAAGAAATTAAACCACATTTCTTATGGCTGATTAGACATAAAAAATAATACCAGTGCCAAACATGATATTGATCAATATGCTTTCTAAATATATTTTTGTATATATGTGGTAAAATGACTTACACTAATCAAATATGGCTAATTTAACTTGAAAAAATTTTAAATTCTTTCAAAATAATATTATTTTATTTTATTTTTTTATTGATCTTGATTGTTCTTACAGTTTAAAACACTATTCCTCTGATCTCTAATTGTTTTAAATGCCAATTTTTATAAACAACTTCTTAACTGGTTAACAATATTAAAATTAATTATTTTTATGACAAAAATCGGATGAAGGTACGACATTTAATGAAGAAAAAAACAATCAACTGTTTAAAAATAAACAATTTTAGGAAATATTAGAAAATGTTGCGCATGTTGTATATCATTTGTGCATTACAACTTTATAATTACGCTATGAATTATTTTAATTATTCGTCATTAAAACTACTCTTTTTCTTAGAACACCAAATTAAAAACATAAACACACGATGAACTCTGATCATACAAAAAATGGATGGTCTTTAAATTTTAAATTACAACGGCTAACCTCTAAATTGTCAATATTATTGAAAGATTATTAAGCTTGTACGCATTTTAAGTACCGAGTAAAAGTTATTACAGTTCAAAATTTGACTCGTAAGAGTTAAAACTTGAGGGTCTCGCCCTGTTGACTTTCCGTTATTCCGTTAATCTTTAATAGACTTAATTTAATCATTTCTCATTTTCATTAGGCGATTGTTAGTTAGTTCAATCGTATATTTTTACTGAACACAACGATAATAATGTTTATGTTAACTTTGTTGATTATGTTTACTTTTATTACCTGATAAACATAGCTAGATTTTTGTTGTTGTTATTTTCAATTATTGTTTTAATACGTAAAACTCCTCAAGTAGGAGACGTTGAGTAAAGACGGTTAATTTCTTGAACATCTCATTTTCTTTTATTCACCTGCCAGTTTTTCATTCTTAATGAAAATCTGCTTTTCTTTCTTCACTCCATTTTGTTCCAACCCTCCAAGCTATTGTCTTAGCTAAAAACTTCTAATTTTTCAATTTTAACTACAACGAATTTTCTCAAATAGATTTCTTTGTGTTCAGTAAGCCTTTTCAGGATTTTCTATCCTTTTCTGATTTAAGAAGTAATGCTACGATTTTGTTGGTACAACGTATAGCGTATTTATCTCATTGCATTTAATACGTATTTTGTAGTCAACATCAATCATCTTCCAACACAACCCATTCTCCGAGTAGACCTAACTGGTCGGTGTGACTAGTCAATAGCGACAGCGATAGCATTATAGCATTTTACATGTTTTTACTGTGAAGTGAGCTCAAAGAGTGAACTGGTTTAGTGGCTGACTACAGGACTTCGGTTCTCGAGTCCACGTGTTCAATCCTCTCTAATCACCAATTAATTGCTTTTGCTTGTGATAGATAATACCGCGGCCCTTGAGGCCAAGCTTGAAGTACTGTTTCAATTTTTTCCAAAACGAAAATCTATCTTGTATAAGATTATCAATATTATCAAGCAATTTTGGCTGTTGGAAGACGGGCGTCTCAAGAATAATGCTAAATAGCCAATTTATTCGGAATATTAGCCAACCAAAACAGCCGGGTTCCACAATTCTATCCAACTTGTGCGTAACAATTACTCTACTCACGATTTCTTGTCACGTTGCACCAACCCTAACTAGGTCATTGCCCTGATTACAGTTAGATGACAGAGAGATACAGGGTGGGGCGAAGATGCGACCAGATCTGGACCTGATGACAGCTGGCGGCTCAGTGCAGAAATAGTGGCAAGATCAAGGTTGCGGTCCGCGCGATGCGAGCACGATCTCTCGTGTTGTCCGTGTTCGTGTCCGTGTTGTGCGTGTTGTGCGTGAGTGACACGCGTGCGTACTACGTGAGGTACCTGAACGTGACAGCCAACACGCTGTTGGACAACAAGAGACTGCTGTCTAGGTATGTGCAGTGCTTTGCTAGTGAAGGGCCGTGTCCACCACAGGCGAGAGATATTAAGAGTAAGTACTGTAAGTGGTAAGTGAGTAAGTGAGTAGTAGTAAAAGTAAGAATAGAAAGAGGACTTAGAGAACTTAGAAATCCTTAGAAAACAGCTTGAATGGTTTATTGGTCATCTTAGAATTATTTATTTACATTTTTGAATCTAACTAGGGACATGAGTCCCGAAAAAGCTCAAAATGTAAAACAGCTTATTTTAATATTTAAACAAACTAAGAATAAAATTATTTGTTAAGGTGGATATGCCTGTAAGTACATCATATATTTGTCTGAAAAAGCCTCTCTGTTTGCTTTGGTTGTTGTTATCTATGAAATCAAATGTTTGTCCTATATGCGCTACCAAACGACCATTCAATCGCGATGAAACTTTAGGGAAGTAAATAAGTACCATACAAAATGAACGATTTTTAGAGGTTACAGTTTTGGTCTATATTCCTTTATCTAGTTGTAAAATGTTTGAATAAATAACTCATTGCGAAATCTATTTGAACAAAAGTCTTTGTGGGTTTGGGAGATGTAAAAGTCACCATAGTTTGTTTAATAACGACTTGGTTAGTAAAAACAAAATAAAAATAATCTTTAAGTATCTAAAGGCAAGAAAACATTACATTTGAGTAACGTTAACCACCATCAGGTACATTTTACAACTTCCTTCTTGGGAGGTGAATAGATTTTATTCTCGTTTTAGGTTTTCCTTAAAATAAATTTCCCAAATGGTGAAGTAGCTTAGGCATTTTTAGCCTCCTGAATGAAACATGAGCATGTTGTTGAGCGCTGAGGTGCCTTAAATAGCTCGTTACGAACACAAACTGATTAAGGTAAAATAAGAATAGTTTTAAAATTAAACAAAATCTAAACCAAATGTGTGTTTTATTCAAATAGTTTAAATTAGTGCTAGACCATTATAGTTTCATAGAATATCCATTAAAAACCCATTTTCATTAGGCTAATTGTTTTCGATTTGATTTGAAATTATAAGTATTCTAAAAAAGTAAGATTCAACTTTTCTATATAAATATGTTTTCTACCATCAATTAACTCAATAGCTTAATCAGCAAACGTTATCATGTCCTTGAATTTCCTATGCATAGTTCATTGTTAAAGCTCTATAATCTAATGTGTTCGTTCAATAGAGCGATTTCCATAATGACAAATAGCTATTTTATGTAAATCATCCATATCAGAATATATTGAATGCATTATAAAATTGAACGAAATTGGCTAACATGGTATGTGCATTATGTATTTGTTTTGATTTACAAACACGACTAATATGAATACAAAATATAATTAACCAAGACATCTCATCCATTCCAAACACGAGTTTCAAGAGAGGGTTGATACAGTCTATGCTTAAATAGGTGTTTGATAGAACAGGTATGACGCGAATAAAGTTAATTTAGCTTAGTGAAGGCAGTAGTAAACTAAACCCAAAAGCAATTCAAGTTCATATAATTTACTCATAAATTACTTGAATATTGCTTATTTTTCGAAGAAAATATTTTCTATAAATTCATTGCCTCATTTCCATAGCTGACCTGATTAAAATAACTTGATGTTTTTAAAATAATAAAATCATTTTTATTATTTTAAAAACATAGAGTTATTTTGGAAAACACAGTTTACTTATACTTATAATAAGTAAACACAGTTTACTTATACTTATAAGTAAACTGTGTTTTCCAAAATTCAAAGTTTCTCGATTAAACTCCGAGTTGAAAGTGAGGTTGATGGGGGATGAAGGATAATATTTTTTTTTCAATGTGTAAAGGCTGCATATTGCATAGAGTTAAGCTTTGCAAAACATTAGCTACACGAAATTCTATGTTTCACAAAATTCCTTTTAATTGTTGTATCTCCCAAACCTAATATTACAGGCAATTTCGTTGCTCTGTAATATAATTTTAAAATTATTTGTGTTTTTCACTATTGGTTAACTTTTTCTTTTACATGGTTTTCTGGGGAAACGCCCAAATCTTGTGACTGTATAACGTTTTGATGTTTAATTATACAACATCATTAACAGATAGTCCGTTGACAAATACTGTAGCATCTTTGTTCAGAATCGGTCTCGCTTGGAATCGAACCAGCGCCATTCAGATTTAGAGGCGAGCACAATTTGTAGTACCTACGTAAAAATTAAATAATAAAAAATGTTTGGACTATCATTAATAATTACTATTATAATACATGTTTTGTAGCTTGTACAATGATATTTTTAATGTGACTAAAAAACCCAAATTATTGTTAACCAAATTATTCCCAAAATCAAATTTTCTTGGTTAACTACAAATTTTTCTTCATGTGGAATGTAGACGAATCGTCAAGGGTGTAAAAGAAGCATTCAGCTTTACAACCTGCAGTCACAAGCTCAAGGTTGTACTGAGCTCAGCTGTAACGATGAAGAAACCCTCCTTGTTATGGACTAGAATATGTTCAACACACACAGGCTAGCATTGAGTTTGAACTAGAGGTCGTCCAGTGGTCGAAAACTCGATCACACAAATATGTGATGTACAAACCTCTCTATTTTCACCCCACACCGTAAATAAAACATGTGATTGTAATTTCTTCCATTTCTTTTTATTTTCTGTTGTTATTTAATCAGCTGCAAGGCAACCCATAAGACCCTTGTTATTTTTTTTTAATTTTAAATACATTTTGTGCTTCTTTAACCTATTTTAATTTATAAAGGGATTCTGCACATCTACAGGAAAATATCTTTCTAGCAATATGCGTAAATTTTCCCTGCGATACGCGAGCTGAAAAAAAGGTATTAAAATAACATGCTTGCGTATTAATATGTAGATACTGCAAATATACTAGGACCTATTGTTAAATCTAATCTCCACTTTATGTCTGTTTGGCCACACTTGATGGCACTTATTTTAACCAAATATTTTTCCCAATCCGAGATAAATCTTAGATTTTTTCCCAAAGACCAAGAAATATTTCGCTAACTTTTGCAAAGCCTAAGTATAATAAATAAAAAAATATTTACCTTGTGTAACAGATAGACAAGACAAACATTGACAAGGGCAAACTGCCAAATTTATGTTTATCCAAAGCTATGAATAGGTCGGTAAATAAGCAAGCCATTGTCCCATTGTTTTACTTAGTTCATTGATTCGTACACTTCGGGTTTTACTTTTTTAATGTGTATTGGTGATGTTTGACCATCGATGTATATAGTATAATGTGTTTGAGTGTGCCGAAGTCGAGTTTTTTTTAATCGTAGGTATTTTACGATTTGTGCAATAATTCCGAGGGCAGACAATAGTTTACAAATTGATTGCCGTATTCAGTTAAATAGTTTTCAAGTTGGTGAAATAATAACAACATATTATTGGTGAACAACACATACACTGCATAAACAGGACACAAACGTACTATAAAAGTGTATTCAGTTGTCTCATACGGATGAACTTTATAAGAGGTGAGCTAAGGCCACTTATAGTTGAACCTTTTATTTCAGCTTGAATTTCTTACAGTCGAGAATTTCTTACAGTATAGAATTTCTTACAGTCGAGAATTTCTTACAATTGAGTATTTCTTACAGCTTGAATTGCTTACAGACGAGAATTTCTAACAGTCGAGAATTTCTTACGATCGAGAATTTCTTACAGTCGAGAATTTCTTACAATCGAGAATTTCTTACAGCTTGAATTTCTTACAGTCGAGAATTTCTTACAGCTTGAATTTTTACAGACGAGATATTCTTACAGCTGTAGTTGAACAAACCACGTGTGGGTTACTCATAAAGTAGCCATGCGAATATTCATTCTACAATCATCAGCGCACACGTGTGTATGACTTATACTGTATTTACCTTGCGCTCGTGTATTTACAATTATAATTTTGTTCAATCATAGTACAAAATAAATCACCAATTACGTTTCTACTAACCTATAAAACTGTATAGTTTTATGATCTAACTAGATCATAAAAATGTGTGAAAATGTCAATCCATAAACAAATCACATGCACGTTTGTCCAATCTGTATGTCATTAAACTACCCGATTCCGATTTCCACTCCATCCGATCGCCATGGAACCTTGGAAGGTATTTTTCTTATTTCCCATTTATTTCCCACGGACACGGTGTACTGTAAGTTGGGATGTTTGTAAGAATCAATCGTAATTGGTAATTTTAGCTGTTACTTTGTAGATATGTTAATGCCACTTGTATAACTCATAGGTCTACTAACTTTCTTCAAAAGTGTTACATCAACAACGCAGAGTGTACACATAGATTGTTTAGTTTGGGGGTTGTCAAGTTATCTAGAAGATTAAAATTTTTAATGGGTTTTTAAAAATGAAAACGGACAAATTTTACATATTAATTAATTACATGCAAAAGTATTTTTACATAACAATCTCCAAGGAAATGTTGAATATTAAAAATTAAAAAAAGGTTCTGGAAAACTTTAAACTTTAACTTCAACAATAAAATTTTGAAAAATCGAACAAAAAGTAAGACTAAACTTAGTAAGAGGAACTTGAAACTTGATTTGGAAATATTCAAATGTTTTTAATTCAAGCGTATTTATTTATCCATTATTTATCTAGTATTTATTTTATGATCCTTTTAATCACAGTTGTATTTCAACCACCTAAGTATCAAATAAAGTAAAATAACTTAATTAAATTTTACTAAATATTTTCAGATCACTATTTATGTGTAGCTTACTAATTAAAGCCTAAAGGAACCTGTCAATGTTAGTGTTTTATACAGGAACTTGCAGGAAACCGAGAAGGTGTAGAGAAGGATTTTAATATAAATAATTCATAAACGGCGCAGTAGGTCATCCGCTGCGAAGGACGTGGTAAGGACCCCGCAGGCTGCGAGGATGCAAATATGCACACGTTTAAGGAAACACACAAACAGTGTTCATCTACATAAAAATGCATTAAATCACGGTAAAATATTCACAAGGAGTCATAAATGCATCTAGTGGGTAGTGACAAATTGTGTGCATGCTTTAGCACACGATGGATTACTCAAGGTATAGAAATATTAGGTTTTGTTTTTATTTTCTCACAATGCTGTAAAAATTACATTTCAAAGGTTATTGCAGCTTTTGGGATTTTACCCATAAAATATAAAAGTTACTCTTACCGCTTACCTATTATTTTATTTATTTTTTTTTTAAGCTAATGGGAGAAAGATATGTGTCAGTTTGATGGTAACGTTCATTTTAGACTGTGATATTATAGCATATTTTTTGTGCCTTTGTAAGCATAAGGATCAGACTTATATCTACATAATGTAAACCTGTCAATACACTAACTGAATTTTTCAAGTTATTAGGGATATTAAACAATTCTATATATGACTATTTTGATGATTTTTTTACCATTTCAAGCTATTTATTAATTTCAAGAAAGTAGTGGCCTAACTTATTGTGTTTTTATGGTAAATTTTGGAAATATGAGGAATCAATACCGGGATAAACCCTTTTAATGAAACAAATCAATAATCTTGAAATTAATGAAGGTGAAATTAATCTTCATTGCATTGAAAGGTGCTAGTATAACTTAGATGGGTATCTGAGTGGGCTGAGTGGTTTAGTGCGCTCTATTGTCACAATAGGTAACCGGTTCGATCCTGAAAAAGTAACTTTTTATCGTTATAAACTGGATCCAGCCGTCCTTGATCGTTTGGTTTGCAATAAATGATCCTCGCTAAAGTACCAAGACACCGTATTGTTTATCCATTCCATGTTCCTTCATTATGTCTACAACCAGCTATAATATAATACCATATTTGAAACAAATTGACAATAAGACTCAAGTTATGAATTCCAGTAGTATGCTATAGTTCTGGGATTTTTCTATTGTTTTAACATACTATAGCAGTTGGAGGGAACAAAACAGATGCCATGGTTTTAAATAAGTTAGTTTGTCATTCAAGCATGACCAAGAAATTCGGTGAGAAGGGTGTTTTATTCAAATTCAATTTAACCAATCATCCTTTAAATAGTCAAAGATTAAAGAAAATAGCTAGGTAGATGAGTGCAGATCTCACCTAAAAGTAGTAATCATTTTCCGGAACAAGCTTGAGGAATTTCAGTTTTTGATGTATTGAAACTAGACTCAGCCGGACCCAGTGGTCCCTGATCATTGGGATTTTAATAATGGTTCCGGCTGTAGAGACAGCATATTTTAGTGTGTAACAGAGATTCACAGATCATGTTTTCCCATTAAACACTCATCATGCATTCATAACTAGAGGTCGTCTAGTGGTTGCAAAATCGACCAAAAATAATAGACTTTTACCATAGACTAAAGGAGTATGCTTAATCTATGCTCTTACCCTACGCTGTACATAAAACATGTGATTGGAATTTCTTCCATTTGTTTTGATTTTCTGTTTATAGTTGGTTGTTATTTCGTTACCAGCATGACAACCCATAAGGCCAATGTAATTTTTGTATTTTCGAATTCATTTTTGTGTTTATTAAATAGGCTATTTTATTTTGTAAAGGGATTCTAAAGGAGTATCTTTCTAACAGTATGCGATGCGCACGAGCTGAGAAAAAGGTTTTCAAGAAACATGCTCGCCGATTATATTAAAATATGCACATGTTCGTTGCTTATTTAAAGTACTGTAATGAATGTATAATAATAAATCCTTTCCTACCAGATGTGACTAAAAACTCTAAAATGAAAGGGAATGTCCATTCCCCAATATTGTTACAGTTGAACCTATTTATGTAACGTTCATACAATTAATAACACCAGCTAACATAATCTTCTCACATTCCACAAATAACCTTGAAACATAGTAGAGCCGCGGTCGGTTCATGCACGTGTTTACTAAGTTACATACCGCAAACATATCGATGACTTTACATAAACACGAGAAACCGCAACAAAGACGTATAGGAAATGTCTGTTTACAGTTGCATTTGTTACTCCAGGACCGGTTTGGTGTATATTCCATATAAGCGGAGGTTTGGTTGTTTGGTAGATGGCCAAGGTGGTGACTTTGACCAGTCGAAGGTTTGTCGCTGTCAACTCCTCGAGGTCTGGCGTGCTCCGTTGTAGCCTGAGTGCTGCAGAAATACGAAATAGTGTCAAAAAGAACCTTTACAGCTTTTAGATGTATGTTATTTGAAGGGTTATAGCGGACGTTCTACACCACGATTTATATAAAAATAAGACCGATAAGACGTGTTTGGGATGCTGAGTCGAGTTTCGGTGAGATAAAACAGAGTGCATAAAACAAAACAAGAATATTACAACCTTAGCTGAGAAATGACAAAATGAAATATTAACCATGCAGAAATCTTATAGTAGTAAAAAATCTTTAATGAAAACAACAATAAATACAAACAATAAGACAAAACACAAAGAACAAGTCTGCATCAGAGTCTACTACTTTGAAAGGACGCGTTTGGTAAACGGTTACCTATACGTTTGTATATTTGTTAAGGATGGAATCAGGCATACTATATAGCAGAACAATAAATCAAAACGCTATTAGAGCAATTATAAGAGCTGGAGTTTGTGATCTTGCTGGAATCAGATTCGTTACACGTCAAAGTTATTCAGGGACACGTTTGTGGATTCCCGCCATTTTATTTGATAATAAATTAAGTTTCAAGAAATGTCAACAGAAGTTTAGTTTAGTGTTGGGTTTCCACAACAACACAACTATTTTTCAATGAAGTTATATATCTGGGTTTGATTATTATTGAAGATAAGTTTTTCTAAATGTGCAGTAAAAAATCTAACAAATCAAGAGATGTTTTGACAGCCCTTTCAAATATGCGTTTTAATGTATATAAATCCAATTGGTTTTTTATAGTTTGCCACAGCTTCCTTGACTTTTTAAGGAGTAAATCCTATCCATACAGGAACTGCAACCATTTTTATTTACAGTTTTTTTGTTCATAGAGGAATGAGCTTTAACAAGGGATGGGATCATTAGATATCTCTATTATCGAATGATGCTTTGTTGAGGAAAAAATCATTGCCATACTCAATCAATCTTTTCTCAATTGTATCCATCCAAATGTTCTAAAATAAAATAAATGTATGTTTTAAGTGTTATAAGACGTATCTTTTATTTACTTTCCGTAAATTTAATAACACGTACAATGCTGATCATGAAGTTACTTTGCATAGCATACAACTGTAATCCATAGGGTCTAGTCTGAAAAAAAATCAACATTTTATTTACCCAATCAAGTAAGCAACAAATCATAACTCACGAAACAGTTTAGGATTTTCATTATATGAATGAATAATAGATACCCTGTTTATACTTATGTATTTTATATATTTTGTTCACAGAGCTTCTTCCTGAACTGATGTCTTCAAGCTGTTCCAAGTGTGATATAAAGTTGCGAGAGGTGTTTGAACGCTGCGCTCAAATGCTCAAACACAAATACCCCAAGAAGTGGTCCAAGATGGTCAAGTCTAAGCCAAAGTCTCCAAACGCTATATAACTTTAATGTGTATTTATTAAATTATTTTCTATATTTGTACTCATTTACCTTTTTTGCCTTTCCTAAAATAACTTTTATTATTATTGCCTTTGTGCGTAAACACCACATTATCTAATCCAGCTGTAGTTATTTTTGTAACACAAACATAGTTGAATGATTGGATACAAATTAGTTTTAGATTGTTGAGAGCTAGTACCGTAGAGGCATTAGAAATATTAGCCTGTTTAGCCACCATCTTGAATTGAACCCTCTTAATTCCTAATCTAAAATCGAGTACAGTTTTAAGATGCAATGTCTACTACACGGTGGTATCCATACAGTCAAAGATTTAACACCGTGTTTAATATGTGTATTTTTTATTCACAAACAAAAAGCATACATCTCAATAAATAACACGAGAAACCGCAACAAAGACGTATAGGAAATGTCTGTTTACAGTTGCATTTGTTACTCCAGGACCGGTTTGGTGTATATTCCATATAAGCGGAGGTTTGGTTGTTTGGTAGATGGCCAAGGTGGTGACTTTGACCAGTCGAAGGTTTGTCGCTGTCAACTCCTCGAGGTCTGGCGTGCTCCGTTGTCGCCTGAGTGCTGAAGAAATACGAAATAGTGTCAAAAAGAACCTTTACAGCTTTTACATGTATGTTATTTGAAGGGTTATAGCGGACATTCTACACCACGATTTATAGAAAAATAAGACAGATAAGAACGTGTTTGGATGCTGAGTTTCGTTTCGGTGAGATAAAACAGAGTGCATGAAACAAAACAAGAATATTACAACCTTAGCTGAGAAATGACAAAATGAAATATTAACCATGCAGAAATCTTATAGTAGTAAAAAATCTTTAATGAAAACAACAATAAATACAAACAATAAGACAAAACACAAAGAACAAGTCTGCATCAGAGTCTACTACTTTGAAAGGACGCGTTTGGTAAACGGTTACCTATACGTTTGTATATTTGTTAAGGATGGAATCAGGCATACTATATAGCAGAACAATAAATCAAAACGCTATTAGAGCAATTATAAGAGCTGGAGTTCGTGATCTTGCTGGAATCAGATTCGTTACACGCCAAAGTTATTCAGGGACACGTTTGTGGATTCCCGCCATTTTATTTGATAATAAATTAAGTTTCAAGAAATGTCAACAGAAGTTTAGTTTAGTGTTGGGTTTCCACAACAACACAACTATTTTTCAATGAAGTTATATATCTGGGTTTGATTATTATTGAAGATAAGTTTTTCTAAATGTGCAGTAAAAAATCTAACAAATCAAGAGATGTTTTGACAGCCCTTTCAAATATGCGTTTTAATGTATATAAATCCAATTGGTTTTTTATAGTTTGCCACAGCTTCCTTGACTTTTTAAGGAGTAAATCCTATCCATACAGGAACTGCAACCATTTTTATTTACAGTTTTTTTGTTCATAGAGGAATGAGCTTTAACAAGGGATGGGATCATTAGATATCTCTATTATCGAATGATGCTATGGCATTTTATATTAAATGCATTATACTATATTTTAATACGTTGAACTTTCAGTGTGACTTAGTAAAAGGCTGGTGTATGCAATAGAATAATCAATTGGCAGCAGTATATGGCTCTTCATATTGAAGGTATACTACTCAGGGGGGTTTTTGACATGGATATAAACAAAATAACTTCTTGATCAGCATTGTACGTGTTATTAAATTTACGGAAATTAAATAAAAGAATGGCTTATAACACTGATGATTGGAGTGTCCAATCGAAATCGATCACCACTTACCATCTTTTTTTGTATATTTACTGCCTTGTGAGTAACAGTATAAGCGTAAATACACAGTAACATAATATACAGTAATATACACTTGTATATGTGTTAAAGTGTTATAAGACTTAAACTTAAAAGTTGTTATAAGTTTCTTTTATTTTCTTTCTGTATGGATAAAAACCAGTAGGTTTTTATCCAAATAGATGACAAATCTATAAAAAGTATTTTATAGATTTGTCATCTTTATGGATTATGTGAAACCAAGGCTATTTCTCAAGAGAAAGCTTTGTTGTGTACTCTTTTTTTTTCTTGTTAAGCAAACTGTAAAACAATTTTAGCAAAACTGAATAAGGCAAACTATTTGTAAACCGCCTGTCCTTTGGTAATTATAAAGTGCGAAGCACAACACGTGAAAATTACTCCGAAATAATATGAAAGCTTTTAAAATCAGTGCACTCAAAATTCTAAAACATGAAGCTCATCGCACAACAGCTTCAGATGTTACAACAGGATGAGAAGTCTACTTACGTTTTTCAAAGTCAATATCATCAACGAAGACCTTGAAAAGACCTCTCAACCTAATTTGATTTTCCAAACATTGCTGCGTTGCTTATAAACAATGGTCCGAATGGCAAACCATGTCATTTGGAGAAGATTTAGGGAAATAATACGGAAGTAGGGTTGGAATGTGATGACAATGCCGAGGTCTATGATTGTCGTGTCCTTGATTGCACAGACAATAGCATGATTGATCCGTGATTGCTGGATTGTGAATGAGAAAATAATTGTAATGATGAAATTAAGGATTTCGAAGAACCGTGTATTATTTAACGAGGCTTTAAAGTTTAAAAACCCCCTCTCATTTCGATCTAAACTACTCTATGGTTAGTAATTAAACAAATATACCATTATTTAACGTAGCTTTTTCTATTTTAATATTGATGTCATTGGCTGTTTAGGTAGTTTTAATGCCATATAAATTACTAGTTGCCCAACCATTCTCCGCAACGGTACGAGGACGCAAAATAGAATAATGCGGTTATTTAAATCTACCGTAGAATTTATGCTATTGCATGTATCTATAGAACATTTAGTCAGGAAAAACTGGAAGTAGTTTCTTTGACCTTTTTGTGCTTCAATGGTTCATACAAGAACTGAAGCCATGCGAAACGACCAGGAAGCAACCTTATCTGTAACCTTATCTATATACAGTATGGATACTGTATGCCTATGTTACTTCCAAGCCGTTAAATATAATGCTATATCCAATTCCTATACGAGTTCTACTTAATGTTGCGTTGTTTGATATTTCTGTGAAGCTTATTAAACTATCAAATAAAATGTATATATTGGTAATTGAATATAATATTTCTGTACTGTGTAATTGATAGAAGTTTTTGTATAGTGTTTTGTCCATAATAACACTAAATTATAGTTGAACAACTTTGCACCTACCCATTTCTTTAATCCATTGTCGCATATTATAGTAAAAAATATAAGAAGAATTCACGATACTTCACAACTAAACTTACTTTGCATTATATTTATCCTTTTATAAGTCATTTTCTATTTGAATAAAATTTGTATTTACAACTCTAATAGAGGCAAATTATGTACAGTTTTTATTCAAATCATTATATATAATAAGTAGGGTTTCCATTTATTTTATTTTTTTTTGAAAATACTAAGATGTTTTAATTTATTTAATAAATTGTGCACACGACAAAGTTATATTACTTATTCTTATTTCAAACTTAAGTAAGAACCGAGCTTTGTTGAGGAAAAAATCATTGCCATACTCAATCAATCTTTTCTCAATTGTATCCATCCAAATGTTCTAAAATAAAATAAATGTATGTTTTAAGTGTTATAAGACTATCTTTTATTTACTTTCCGTAAATTTAATAACACGTACAATGCTGATCATGAAGTTACTTTGCATAGCATACAACTGTAATCCATAGGGTCTAGTCTGAAAAAAATCAACATTTTATTTACCCAATCAAGTAAGCAACAAATCATAACTCACGAAACAGTTTAGGATTTTCATTATATGAATGAATAATAGATACCCTGTTTATACTTATGTATTTTATATATTTTGTTCACAGAGCTTCTTCCTGAACTGATGTCTTCAAGCTGTTCCAAGTGTGATATAAAGTTGCGAGAGGTGTTTGAACGCTGCGCTCAAATGCTCAAACACAAATACCCCAAGAAGTGGTCCAAGATGGTCAAGTCTAAGCCAAAGTCTCCAAACGCTATATAACTTTAATGTGTATTTATTAAATTATTTTCTATCTTTGTACTCATTTACCTTTTTCGCCTTTCCTGAAATAACTTTTATTATTATTTCCTTTTGCGTAAACGCCACATTATCTAATCCAGCTGTAGTTATTTTTGTAACACAAACATAGTTGAATGATTGGATACAAATTATAGTTCAGCCGCTTAGAAAACGACCTGCGCGCTAATGCTAAACCAATGCTGGAGGAGGTCGCTTTCTAAGCGGCCGAACTATAGTTTTAGATTGTTGAGAGCTAGTACCGTAGAGGCATTAGAAATATTAGCCTGTTTAGCCACCATCTTGAATTGAACCCTCTTAATTCCTAATCTAAAATCGAGTACAGTTTTAAGATGCAATGTCTACTACACGGTGGTATCCATACAGTCAAAGATTTAACACCGTGTTTAATATGTGTATTTTTTTATTCACAAACAAAAAGCATACATCTCAATAAATATAATGGTGCTTAAATTAAACTTTACTAAAATTAAATCACAGCTATCCATAATAAAACTAATCAAATATTGTGAATTTTTCATAATATGTACACTTATATAATTTCAATCATCAATGGGTTTTATTACCATGAGCAATTAATAATACCTTTAACTATAAATTGATGATTCTTAGAAAATTCACTTTTAAATTATTCAATTTTGAAAACACATTAAAGAGGGGAAAACACAATTTTTTGTTATAAAATTTAGAACATTTTCCTTAAACAGATGAACGAGACAGGTATCGAGTTCCAAGACGTTCGTGGAATAGACCGGAATTTAATATCTGAATGCTCGTATTTTTATTAAAGACCTACTTGCTCCGTAGAGGACTTAAATAAACCAACACGTAGTCACAAAACGTTCTAGAGTTTGTTTTATTAAAAAACTAACGAAGACTCCCGGAAATGAGCGAAGGGAATTGTTGTAAGTAATGAGAATGTTTGATGTGCAAGGTTTAACCTATAGTTTCCACTTTTGTTGAAATTAGTCAATCTAATTAGAGTTATGTTAATAGTTATGTGGAAGAATTATAATTATGAAGAGTTATAATTATGTAGTTGGTAAAACGTAGTGTTTTTGAATGGTCACCCTTCCTAGTGCAATCTGTTTGTATCGAAGCATATTAGGTCAATTCTTCAACAATATTCACATGGATATTCAAACATATATTTCGTGAACAATGATCCTATACAGGTATTATACCAAAGTTTTAACATGATTGTTTGACTTTTAGAGAAGGACACTAAAATTGACAGTATTACAATATTGTGATCTTAAAGTAAAGCGTCAAGGTAATTATTGTGAAGTATTATTACTGTTAAATTACTGACATTGTTTTACCCCAATGCAATTATCACAATATATTTGTTAATTTTGGTCGTGGAACCCTTACTTGTAGACTAACACTATACTACTCACTTTGTGGTTAAAGTAGATGAAAATGATTTCCTAGTCCCTTTTAATCAAAGCAGTCATACAACTCATTTTAATCAGATCTTTACAGCAAACGAGACATTTTATTACTCTAGAATCTAGATCATGATCTCTCTGAAATGTGATTTATTTTGAAAGGCCCAAAGTTATTCACCAACAAGTTTCAGGATTTCTCGTCATTTAAATTTGTCCAAATGAATTTAATTTAAAGATTTTTTTTTAAACCATTGTGTTTATTCTTCTGAAATAGGCAAATTCAAAGTAAGAAAACAGTGTTGTAATGTTTTATATTCTAACTGAAATAATTTGTTTTAAAATTAATGTAGGGTAACCCGTTAATTTATTTTTGGTTTTTTGTTGTTTTTTTATCGTTAAGTGTACATTTTCAATCACTGGTTATAAAACAAAACTTTATGCAATTTATACTTTGTTATGATAGTGTGTGGATACGACGAGTGGTGTTAATAAACCTAACCCAGGTGAATTTTGTTTCGTTTTGCGAATTTATTTATTTGAAAATTCATTGTAATACTTTTATGATACTATTATAACTAAAATAAGTATTAGAGTATAAGAATCTCTATTAGAATTTTTAAATATTATTCTCTCGGTAAATTAAGAAAAAGCTGAATTTTAAGTAAAGGTTTTACTTAAATACACACATTTCAGTGCACAGTTACAAATCTACCAAGAATCGCACCGAATCACCTCACTACAAGGTAAATCAACTGTTCTCGAGCTGTTATTATTTGAGGAGTCCGTGAATCATCGGTTTGATCTGCTCCAGATAGCAGGAACCTTAAACATTTACCTTGGATTTAACTATTGGCCAACCTAACTTTATAGGCAGAACCCGCCTAATCCCACATTTCACGCCGAATACAATTCATTGGATTATTGGATTTGATGGGTTATGAAAATATTTTATTAAGAAGCAATGAGATTTTATGCAAACTAAATCAATAATTGTATTTTAAGTGCTCACAAAATCACAAGGAAATTGTTTTGTATTTGATGTAAACAATTTATTTTCCAACGTTTTAAACAATTCAATACTTGTATTATTTAAGTTGTTTGTGTTTTGCTTTACAATAGAATAGAAATTGAATACAGTAGTTTACATTAAACATGATAAGCAATGTATATAAAAATACAATATAAAATACAAAATAAATATTTTTTTTTTCATTTTTCACTCAAAAATTTATTTAGATACACTCAACTTGTGAAACGAATATGTCCACAGAACCATTTATGCTACTATGACTTAGATAAAAGGCAATTTAACTGACTCGGAACAAGAACTAAAACGTAGGGTACCATAATAAACTCACGTTATAATATCACTACGAAACTTTAAAGTTCTGCCGTATCATAAAACATTTAATTATTAACTTTAGAATTTGGGTTAGAATTAACCATTGAATAAAAAAAATGAAATAAGATGAAATGAGCGTTATATTTTTACTTAACTCAAACACAATGTATTTAATTCGCTAAAGGGGGACTTCGCATCAAGGGAAAGCGAATTATTCATTTTCCAAAACTATCTTACTGATAATAACCTAAATGAATCACTTTATCAGGCCATTCAATGCACAAAAACCATAGAAAAATCCAAAGTGTGGCTATTTGTACCGGTTCATTACGAGCCTTAAGTAATACGATTACAGGTGTAAAATAACCACAAGGCAGCATGCACATTACAAGTTTGATCGTTTAACTACCGCAGCTAACGACTCAAAATTATCAAGGGTACTTTAATAAGCATAACTCGGACAACCATAGTAATATTCAGTCATACAAACCTGTTTGATAAATTGCCAAAAACAAACAGTCTTTAATCGGGGCCTGTACAAAGCCCGGGCGCCGCTCGCCTAACTATGCACTTAAACTCTAATGGTGTAAGCAATTTCAAGTGATTGTTCATTTAATGAGTGCTATCACAAGTGATGTGAACCATCAAGAGACCAAGCCACAAAATTACGGTTGTTTGAATCTGTTTGAATGCGTTATTTGTGCAAGAAGGGGTCACTTTGTGAAGTAGTTGGCCATAAAACGCTCTAATTTCACTGTTCAACTATTAATTGGTAGAACCGAACCAACATTAAATAGGATGATTCCAAATTAGAAATGTACTAAAATATTGAACGTACTCCCTTATAGAATTGTCATCTTCGTGGATCAGCTAACAGTTTTAAGTAAGTTTCCGACCTCTAATAGTACAGTGTGTTTTAGAGTTTACTATTTATTTATTACTGTCTATCCGAATTTAAAACTATTGTAAATAAAACCTGCCTATTATTACGCTTGATATAAACACTATACCAAATAAAACGACAGACTAATTCTTCAAGATTAAAATAAACTGTTTTTCGGTCTTAAAATTTTAAAATCTCAGTAACCACTCATGAAAACTATATGTTTTTTCTTGTTTAAAAAATATGGACTTTTGAAAGTTAGCCATACAGGAATCAAAGAGTATAATAACAAACTAAGGTTCCAAAATAATCGTTATTAACCTCTAATAAAACATCCTATGACCTATTCCCGCTTACAATTAAATTTTGTCCAAATCATAGAATACAAACCTCACAAAATCAAATATAAGAGAATTTTGAACCATTCCACATTTTAAGAATTACAAATGGCTTATGAAACAAACCGATATTTTAAAACTTAAATTTAGCTTGAATTTCAGCAACATCGTACTGGATATGACCAATAACATTGAAAAACATCCCTATTTAACTTCTCACAGAATAGCTAATATTCATTTAGAATAAAGCCTCATTACTGTTAAATATTTTTCACGGAGGAATGACTGTAATTACAAACCAACCATAAAACCTAAATTATGCTTGACTTCTAGCAACATCATACCAAGTGTGACAAAATTGTACGAATTAAAATTAACTGTCCTAAATTTTAAATACTGTACAAAATTCCTCTCTAATCACAACCATCGATATATAACTTATCACAACCGCAGGTAAACAATTGAAACTATGCACTTTTTACACATTTTCATCTAGGAACAAAAACTAAAAATATTAAGAATAATTGCTACTAATCTTTGAAAAACAAACCTACCAACTTCAAGCCATTGCAAATCGAAACTTTTTTACACATTTTCCATGGAGGAAGCCGATCGGAAGGAAGCCAAATGCTGTAGGCCAAGGCTACGACAAGGCTGGCTGGACTAGAGCTATATAGCCCCTCTGTCCCCGCTGTACTGTATACAGTGTCCACTGTCCAGCAATCATGTACGTAGTGTTGCTGTTAGCTTGTGCCGCCCTCACGGTCGCCGCCCCCGGGCCCGCCGCCCCCAAACAGCTCAACAGTCGTCTGGACTCTGTAGATGTGGACAAGATCCTCGCCAACCCCCGGGTGCTGAGCAACTACGTCAAGTGTGTCACTGACAAAGGCCCGTGCACCTCGGAGGGGAAGGACCTTAAGAGTGAGTACATTTTTTTACTGTTGAGATTTCTCTTCCATTTTTCCCTTAACAACTAAAATTCCTGCCACCGGTGAAATAAAGGCAGTGAACTCACCGGTACGGCATAAGTCACGTATAATTATATAGTTGTACAATTGTTACCTCGTCTGTGCTACCACCCGGAATCCGAGAACGTTTCTGGCCTCGCAAACAGTTGTCCACAATTCGTCAAATCGAATCTTCTCTGTTACACTTAAACTTCTCATTCCTCTCAGCAATTATCATCTGTGCTATCATGTTGACCTTTACTCCCTGTGTTGATTTATAGCTTCATGACGGTTCTTTGCACTTGCATCACACATAAGTAGTTTCTGTCGTAGATGATAATTGTATACGTTGCAGATTACTATGACATTTGGATTAACGTCTGAGTGATTTTCCCCAATTTGTACCCTTAACCATTTTAATTTATATTTTTTTGTCTATTGCTTTTTACCATATATCTCGTAAGACGATCTAAAAGCAGTTCCGATACAGTTTAAACTCATAGACAAGCCAATGGTGACTGGGAATAAGGGAGTGAAGGAGTAAAGGAGTCAATGTTTGGCTGGTAGTTCAAGTCGTTACCGATGAGCTTTGTGTTCAATAAAAAAATACTAATAATTTTTATGTTATAAATTCTACATTAGAAGTTAGTCTAGTCTGTAGCTCTATTTAGTGAAAGAGTGAAGATGACTCTCATGATACGAGTACTTCATTTAGGCTTTGTAAAGGAAGAATTTTAAATTTTATTGAACACTTTTAAACTGTTATTAGTTTAACTAAAATGTAGGAAAGTAAATTTACAGCTTTGACTATTGGCTGATAGGCAACGCAAAATGAATAATTACAGCTAGTTTGTCATCTATTTATCTACTACAAATAAAGGTAGTAAATATTTTTAAAGCTGTGAGAAAAAAAAGCTAGCATGTTATTTAACTGCAATATTAGGTACAACCTAATTTTTACTATAGCTGTAAAAATCCTACTAATCCTACTCATATTATAAATGAGAAAGTTTGGATGTATGGATGTATGTTTGTGACAAGTGAACGCAAAAAATACTGGTCGGATTGGGCTGAAATTTGGCATGATGATAGCTCACATTCCCGATTAACATATAGGCATATTCTTATTTCAAAAATCCTTTTGGGCTCCGCCCCAGTGGCTCTGGAGTTTCCCATGTTAACCTTATGAGAAATGGAATTATTGATTCTTAACAACTGTTTCAACTAAACAAGTTGGTTCTATTCTATGATGTCCAATAGCATTAAAGTTACAAGGATTACCAATAGGGTGCAGCACTATTATTTCTTTTACATTTATGACAACAGCTAATTTGCAACCAAAAGGTGAGTGAGCGTAGCGAACGAACTTCAACCTGGAGGCGAGTTAGCGTAGCGAACGAGCTAACCTGAAGGCAAGTGAGCGCAGCGAACGAGCTCTAACCTAAAGGTGAGTGAGCGTAGCGAACGAGCTCCAACCTAAAGGTGAGTGAGCGTAGCGAACAAACTTCAACCAGGACGTGATTGAGCCATGCGAACGAGATAATCTTGAAAATTAAGAAGTTAAACGGGGCAAAGCCCGCGGGTTACAGCTAGTAATATTATAAAATTAAATTCAAGGGAAATTTCAAAAAAATTTTAACTCCAATTTAGTAAGTTGTTTAAATTTTTAATGATTTGAAAAGTTAATATTTTATTGTTAAAATACATCAATGCCCCCAACAGTCCGGTCATAATTATACGTTACATTTTTTAACTCTCTTTGGCTGTTTACAATAATTTTAATTACCATAGTAAGGGAGTATTTTAAATTTGTTATCGAAAAAAAATATAACACCTTTGTTGGTCTGTGTCTTAGATTATATTTCAATTTAATTGAAAAACACGTATTTATTGTAAGGCAGCTTGAAACTTCACACACTAACTTAAGCATTATCATCGATAATCACCAACAACAAATAAAAGTAACTTGTTTTGAAAAATTATTGTTTCTACAATATCAAAACATATTGTATTCATCCCACGGTTTTGTAAAACTGAAACAAACTCAAAAGTTGATGAGCCAAATCTACCCAGTTTGATGATAAGTAGCCCTGAGAAACCATTATAATCGACTTGATATGCATATAAATCCAAGGTTGTCCACCGTTGCTGTTGTAGGAAACTGGCCGGTTCACTTCCACTTCAGTTTTTGCTGCTTCCTGGCCAGATTATTTACATATCAATATCTTTCTTGTCCACAATCTTGCTATACGCTTAACAGAAAAAATAGACAAGTTAAAGTGATATTATGTAAATTATGTACATTACAGTAGTAAAGTAACTGTTGTGTTTGTAAGATCGTGTGTTCTTATTGATGAATTAATTATTGATTTGAGATTTGAAACGAGACGCATTATGTATCTATTTATATTCACACTTTGTTACAAGAGTAAGAAGAGGAAACGCACTTACAATCTAAATAAAAAAATTCTATCAGTAGTGCACAGTTGAAAAGCTTTATTTTCGATAGGAAAATGTTGATATTACATCACACATAAAACACGTCAATAAGTATTTATATTGCTTTTACTTTTGGTCACCATAACTCTACTTCGTTCACAATATTTAGGTGATTTAGGGGAAGAAATCTACCCTTCCACTTGACTCTTACCTTTAAAATAATAGCTCAACAGCTGAATAAGCAACATAGATTGAATACAAAAATAAACCGTATAAGCAATCTGACACATACTTTCTCCCATAAGCTTGTCATCAACCTTTATCATGAGTAAGCGGTGGGAGTAACTATGATAATTTTGTAGGAAAAAATCACAAAAGCTGCAATAACTTTTGAGCCGTAAACTGTTACAGAAATGGGGGGTTGCACTATTTTGTTTAGGATTATAAAGACCATAACACATTGATTTTAATCAAAACCACATGGGAATTTTTGTGGGGACTTGCCCTCAAACCAGCTAAATATTGTGAATGGATAATGCCGTGGATTAAACAAAAACCCTTGAATATTTTATCCTTGCATTTAAATTTTAATTTATGGTTCTGACCCCTATATATAAATCTCCTTTAGACGTTCGTTGTTTTTAGATAATGTTTAGATAAACTTATCAAAACGTATGTTGTTTTGCTACGTAAGATGAACTACATTCGAAAATGTCTCATTGCTGAACATCCATATTATTTGTCCAGTGAACTAAAGTTTTTATTTCTGCAGAGATCCTGCCTGAAGTGATCTCTACCGCTTGCGCCAACTGTTCCCCCAAGATGAGAGCCAACCTGAAGAAGACCATCCTGGCCATGAGACAGAAGTACCCCAACGAATGGACAGCAGTCGTCAACAAGTACGACCCCAAGAGAACCCACAGCAAGGACCTCGAGGCCTTCCTCAAGTCTTAGTCACTTCTTCTTCTCTCCACCGCCATCTTGTTTAACTTATTGCACGTCCATCCTTGTTTTGAATCATTAAATGGAAAAATGTTGATATGTTTGTCTTTTTGGCTGAAGATTTCTTCCTTTATCTTGTACTGGTTGATCAGATAGTTCTTCTTAAATTGGAGAGTACTCATGTAGTGGGAATTTTTATTAATCTTATTGAAAAACTTGTATGCTGCTAAAAAGCTGATATAAAACAAATCTATTCGTTTAAACTATTATGAATGTAGTAGTACGGTAAATAATTATAAAGGGGTCAAAAACCCAGTTCCAACAGAGAATTTGCTTAAATGAGTGTTACTTTTCTGCACGAGAGTCTGCAGTTGGGGGAGGAGCCTATTTACCCCGTGACTTTGAAGGAGACAATGAGGACAGCGCGGTGTTGCCAAATCTAATAATACTAGCTTATTTGAAAATATTGTTTAGTATATTTTAATTAGTGTCGAAAAGTAGTGAACGGATGATGTTGCAACGTCGCACTAATCCAGTCTTGTTATTGGCTGCCACCAACTCCATAGACTCTCGTGGCCCCTAGTGTAACTACATTTATTAGTTACTTGATCAGTGCTTTTGATCCACACAAAACTTTGGTTGAGGATGCACAAAAGAATAATATGTGGATCCTTTAATGGTTTAATGAGCTGTAGAAACCAGTTACACACAATATTGATTATCGAAAAAAATTTCTTGCGAAACTTGGTATTATAAAATTTATTTTCGGATCACCCTTAGTATCAGGGGCCCAGACTTGCTCGGTTGTGGTTGATTGGGTTGAATATTTTAAACAATATTATAAACAGACAAACGTTATAATTTACGAAAAGTGATGTCAATAAAAAATTATAAACATTTAATTTCTGAAATAATAACAATTCTGTGCGGTAATGTACAAGCATACTGTACAATAAAACGAAGATATACATAGATGATCTTATTTAAGTTAAGGTGCTATTCGTACAGCGTTTTGCTCCATTGAAACCCGTTGTTCATTTTACATCCCCAGAGTAATAAGAAATTGGGATTCCACTGAAACTTAAATATTAAAAACAGATGATTGAAAAATGTTTGTATAAATTATTATTTACGTTTACGTACTTTAGTCTAAATCCTCCAGCTGGATTAAAAGACAAAAATCACAAACGAACCCACAAACAGACATGGCTAATATTAGAGGATTAGCTGTGTCTCAGTGTATGTTTTATTTATGTTTTTATAAAGTCGGGAGTATGTTTTATCTATGGTAATATATACAAAGTGTAAATAGAGCAAATCAAAACATTCTGTGTTTTTGTAACTGATTGAAGAAACATTAACAACTACTTACAAAAGCACCACCATTGACTATTTGATACTGAAGTTGTATTGATAGTCAAAGCACAGAAAACCTACTGTTTTCTGTGGTCAAAGGCACCAGCTTGAAACTAACTAGAACAAAGTGTACCCAGAGAACGTAAAATTCCACTGTCGTTGATTATACCAAAATATAATACAATTTCAATATCTATCGAAGTTTTACTGTAGATGTCAAGTATTCATAAAGGAGAGAAGAGATACATAACTTTCTTAGTACTATATTTAAACTAAATTGATATTATTCTCTAACCGACAATATACCTATTTCTTGAAAATCTAAATCATTCTTGTAAGGCATATCTGGTCTTTTTATTTAAGCGTGTACTTCAGATCCTCTAAAAATCATAAATGTAGCCTATTTTGATAGATAGCCATTAGTCCTCAGCCACAGATTCACAGATCCATAGCCATTAGCCTGTGGATCAGGTAGGTCCACTTAAATGTAATAATGTAAGTCTCTTAGGTTAGGAAAACTTCACCTGTTCAGTGGCGTCATTTCACCAATTCTTTGGGGGGGGGGCAAACACCGGGGGGAATGGGGGGTATGGAATACCCCCCAGGAACCAAGGGGGGTCCGGGATTCCTACCCCGGAAAATTTTGCATTTTTGAAACAAAAAAAGAGGGGTTTAAGCTTATTTTAGTTGTCAAAAGCACTTCAAATATAAATACCCCCGCCGCAGCAAACCTGCCGACTAAGCGAATTTCCATTTGTCTTAATTGATTTTCAATTAAATATATTTTAATAACATTAGGTTTAACGAGTACCTAGGTTTGCTGCTACAAGGAAACTAATAAAGTCTGTTTTTTTGTAAAATATTGATAGCTTAGTACAAAATAAATAAATTTGATCAAAATACAAAATATATCCATAAGCAAGCACTCTACAACATTTGACAATATTCTCCATAAGAATAACATGGGAATTTTAAATTTAACATTTTTTTAATTTTCTCCGTTACTATTAACCGAACAAAAATACTTTTAAATACTAAATTAATTGTTTTTTTAAGCTCTTTAAAAAGGTCTAAAGAGAAATTGGGAAATTTTGTGTTTTGAGGGTCAAAAGTGAGAAAAACTAATTTTTACCCCATAAAACCCCCCGTAAAACCCCGTTCCCATGGTCCGATCATGCTGGTTCGCGAACTCATTTAAGTTTATCCCGCTTTACACCCTTAGACCAAATTTCGTCAAAATCGGACAAAAATTACTCAAGTTATCGCGTTCACGGACGTATATATATATATATATATGTCTGTATATATATATATACATATATAAAAATTTGAACGAATGGTGTTTTTGGCCTCTGGGGACATCAAAATGAAAAAGTAAATCGGTCCCGGGTCTAGGTCTTACCGTGCCACCTACGGTAATAGCTACTTCTCTATAGGGAAATTCGCTAAAAATGAGTAAAATTTATTTAAATTTAGGCAGAAAGTTAATGAAACTAAGAATTATTGACAACAGACTGAAACACAATGATTTTTTGTTGGTAAGTTAGTCATCTAAGAAACGTGATCAATAGTTCCATGGTGTATTAATATTATGTTTGTTATAAGATTCATGACCAATTTCTCTTGTACAACATTTAGCAATAAATACGGTTGTTCATAGCCTATAGTTTACAACAGTTTATTTTGGTTTTTAAATAAAATACAAGTATTTAAGAACTTAAAAGCAAATCAAATTTAATCACCAATAAAATAATTTGACACAAAAGTACAAAAGGTTCTATTTAACTACATTAAATTGGTAGTCTACAATGTTCCAAATAAATTACATAAAATGTATGCACATGTATAATTTTAATGCTTGAATCTATATAAAATCCAATGTATGTTTGTTTGTATGTATGTTTGTCCTTTATGGACTCCGAAACCTCTAGACAGATTGTAATGAAACTTCAAGGATGATTTGTGTGAAGTTTGGTGCAGATCCGTCAAAAGGGCTCCGCCCCAGTGGCTCTGGAGTTTCCCATGTTAACCTTATGAGTACTCATATTTGAATGGAATTAAAGATTCTTAACAGCTGGTTCAACTAAAGAATTTAATTCTATGATGTTCAATAGCATTAAAAAGTTAATAGGTTTACCAACAGGGTGCAGCACTATTATTTTTTCAATTTATGACAACAGCTAATTTGCAACCAAAAGGTGAGTGAGCGTAGCGAACGAACCTAAACCTGGAGGCGAGTTAGTGTAGCAAACGAGCTAACCTGAAGGCAAGTGAGCGCAGCGAACGAGCTCCAACCTAAAGGTGAGTGAGCGTAGCGAACGAACTTTAACCAGGACGTGATTGAGCCATGCGAACGAGCTCATCTTGAAAATGAACGAGCATGTGACATAAAACCACAATAGGACAGGACGACGTCTGTCGGGCCAGCTAGTAATTCATAAAAGTAAATGACAAAGCAATGCTTCTAAAAAATCTGAATTTTTACGTATATATATAAACTAGAAGTAAGTGGTTTGTCGTACAGCACCAAACAGAGGAGTAAATGAATAACAAAACTACTAAGTTATGTAAACTCAAAATGTGCTATCTAAGACAATAAAACAATTATAATTTTTGTTTCACATTACTGTACAAGAATATACAGATTTTTGTCTACTGTGCTTTTTAGGATTTTACAGGAGAAAATATTTGTATATTGGCTAGTACAGCATATTTTTTTCTCTAGCCCAGGATCCATGGGGGGCAAATGCCCCCCTCCCCAAATGACGCCCCTATGTATTGTAGATCTTTCTACAATAAAATTCGTACGATATATAATTTTGTTATTCCATCGCTGCCTTAGTAACAAAAATAGTAAAGTGTATGATTATCTTAAAATTTCCACTGTTTAATCTTAAAAGATAACTCTCAAAAACAGCTTTAAGGAACTTTTAAACTTAAAAATTATAGGAATAAGATAAGAACTGTCGTGAGTATGGTGGCTTAGGCTAACAAATACAGTCAATTAAAATTCATTGTGTAGCCCCTGAACTGTTGATTAGACTAATATTTAAGGTACATACCTTCACTTCCACAGTTCATAAATGTATGGTCAAACCCACTACATGTTTCGCCTATACATAGGCATTGTCAAGTGATCCTTCAAGAAAGTTTCGTCCATTGTAGACTCGTCAAAAAACATTTAAATAAATACACATAAAACAAGATACATTGTACGAAAATGCATGTAGTGGGTTTGACCATACATTTATGAACTGTGGACGTGAAGGTATGTGCCTTAAATATTAGTAAATACAGTCAGGTTTACAATGAATATGTACATTTACTTTGAGTATGGTAGGCATGATTATCCAACAATATACAGTAGGTTTCCATGTGTGTTTGTTTAAAGTCCGGTTATGTTTGAGTGCAATGATGCCCAAAGAATTATTTTATTCTAGTTCAGGGTGCGTTTTACAGTGTGGCTTTTTCTCGTTATAAATAACACCAGAGGTAAGCAACAGCAGTTTACGATTGCGATTTTTTTCATTCGAGCCAATAATAATTAAAAAAGCAAACTGTATTAGTAGGTTACATTGTAAAATCTATTAGGTACCTAAAAAAATATTTTATAAACATAGTTAAATACTTAGATAGCTCTAGTCTGATAAAACGTTTGAAAGATTAAATAGCAATCAATTAACTTATTACAACAAGTGTATAGTGGAGATTTCCTAAGAATTGACTTACATCAGTAAAACATTCACGTATAACATCTAGCAACAATAGTCTTAAGAAATGGGACTTCTACGTAAACAACGTAATAAAAATTCCTCTGAATTACATGCAATCCAAAGGTATATATGAGGCAGCGCTGGGCAGCGGCGATTGCAGTGGCAGTGGATGATCATGAAGGTGTTGACAATCTTGCTGATCACGGTGGCAGCGGCGGCAGCAGCCGACACTTATGTTTCTACTTGGGACAACATAGATCTAGATGGCATTCTCTCCAACGATCGACTATTAAAGGCCTACGTCGATTGTTTAGTAGGACGCGGGAAATGCACTCCGGACGCGGCGGCGTTAAAACGTAAGTAAATAGGAATTCAGGGATTTTATCAGGCCACTGGCCAGTTTTTCACTATAGGTAGCCGATATAGTAGGTGATATAGTAGTTTGTAATTAAAACTAGGTACTTCACAAGCCAACAGCAATAATCAATTACAAGTGAATGTAAAATGTAAAGAGGTTTTCCCCTATACTTAACAAAAACTCTCTCCATCATATTCATATTTTTTTTGCTAAAACCATTCGACAAAGGTTATTTAAAACTCACTTTATGCCACCGGTGTTAAAATCAAAATTGTGATTTCCATTGTATAAAAATATATCACAGTAAAACTTAATTAATATGGTCCCATAAAATATGGGCTTCCCACATGTGTAAATATTTTGTACAGCTAAGTAAGGAATTGGAACTGGTTAAACTAAGCAGTTTAGGTGCACAGTTTATAGTTGCTTCATGTAGTTACCTACCTGTTTTTCGTTTTTGTCTTTTGTCGGGGAGGGGTTGGAATACACACTAGTTAGCTTTTTTTTCTAAATAAGGCATTTTATTATATAATTTTTATACCGGTACACAGGGCGTTTCAAAATTCCAGTCGGATATTAAGGGTTTATTCCTGGGTAAGAAACATATCCAAATTCAGTATCATATTTAAATTGTCTGGAAGTCCTTAGTTACTCACACAGCTGCCATTTTGTTTTTTCACTTATTGTTTTCTAAAAAGTGGTTCAATATACGAAATTGAAACTTTGCACAAACATTTATGAAAACTATACAAAGCTACAACAAAATTATGAAAATTTTTAAAATTCATTGAACAAAATGGCGGCCATTTAAATTATTGTTTCTTAAATTACTCAAAACCCGTTTATTTACAAAAACTTTTTTTAAGGCAATTTAATTACAAATTGGTGACACCTTAGTTTTTAAGATATGACGAATATTAACTGAGATGCTTTGCAAGATATTTTTAAGTGAATTTAGATTTTTTTTATAGGCCTAATACAATTTTACATAACCCCAAAAGTCTTTTTTAATCAATTTCATCTATCTTTAGGATGGCTTAAAAATTTTATTGTCTTTAAAATATACACTACACAAAACACTCAATCTTTTTATATCAGCTGTGGTGAAAGTCAACGTACTTGTTTACAAACTAATCAGCTGATTTTATTGATGTCTGAAGATTTTTTTTTTTTTACAGCATTTATTTCTGGTTCAATGTAGACATTATACACAGAAGTGTTAACAAAATTAAAAAGAAATTAACTATAATAACATCGTGGGTTCGCCCAAACCTGGTACACCCTGTAACATAATTAATTTAGAGAATAATTTATGTTATTGTTTATTCAATGTAGTCACAGTTCCTCTAACTTTTTACACTCACTTTTAAGTGAACACTCAGTGTTTAAAAATAGATAGTTGATAAAATACCCCCGCCTCAGCAAACCTGCCGACTAAACGAATTTCCATTTGTCTGAATTGATTTTCAATTAAATCTATTTAAATAACATTAGGTCTAACGAGTACCTAGGTTTGCTGCTACAAGGAAACTAATAAAGTGTATTTTTTGTAAAATATTAATAGCTTAGTACAAAATAAATATATTTGCCAAGTTTGATCAAAATCTCAATAAACAAGCAAACTACAACATTTTAAAATATTCTCCATAAGAATAACATGGGAATTTAAATTTACCTTTTTTTAATTTTCTCCATTACCAATAACCGTACAAAAAACACTTTGATATACTAAATTATTTGTTTTTTTTTAAAGCTTTTTTAAAACGTCTAGAGAGAAATTGAAAAATTTTGTGTTTTGAGAGTAAATATTTGAAAAACCAATATTTACCCCATAAACTTGGAAATAAACTTGGGAAATCTTGGAAAATTTATTCCTGTAAAGTCTTTGTAAAATCAACATGTTTTGAGTTATTTAAGAAACAATATTTTTAATGGCCGCCATTATATTTTATGAATTTTAAAAATTGTCATAATTTTGTTGTAGTTTTTTGTAGTTGTCATAAAGTTTTGTGCAAAGTTTTGTGCAAAGATTTGTTTGTTTTAAATATAAAACAAGCATTTCAAAGTAAATATAAAACATCTGATTACGGATAATAAGGTTTTGTTTATGTATTAACAGGCCATATAAAATATATTTAACATATTTAAACATTACTGACTAAAAAGTAGAAAACAGTTATTAATAAAAACACTTTTTTTAAATGCCACATTTTTAAATGCACTAAAAAGTAGAAAATAATTTATACTTTATAGTGTGTTTTAACACGTAGAATTTTTAAATTTTTTTATTTATAATTATTTTGTTTGTTACTATAAAATGTGATACAACAAAACATCTGCTAACAATTTTAATCCGCTCTTTTGATACACTTTTCTACGATATACATATGCAGAACACTGTATTCAGTTTATCAATTTTAAACTTACAATCATACTTTAATATTATGGTGGTCCGATGTACGTAGTACCTCTAACATTAGGCGAAGCTTTCTCACCCTCATATTGTATGTGAAAGAACACAAATAGCATTACAGTTTATGTAAATAGAGCCCCAAAAAGTGCTCAAACGTATAAAACACAAAAATTTACACAGAACTAAAGACTAAGGAGCAAAAACTGTTAAATCTGCCGAATAGTTATTTCTTGTTCATTGAATATACACTAGGCTCTTTCATTATCTGATTTTATTTCATTACACGACCGCCTGGGTATGAATCACACTCATACATACCCGATACAACACTACCTGTTTGTCTATATGTTTGATTCAGATGTTATTGCAGTACTCCTTTGGCATTGGTATCCTACTGGGGTTTGGTTTAACACTTATACTGTTTACTCACAAGACGGTAATAGCTATTTACCTTACAAGTGTAGTAAGAGCGTTTTTACATCACGCAGGTGAATGTTGTGCAACGAGCGAAAGGGAGTTGCATAATTCACCTAAGTAATTTAAACACGCTCTTGCATAACGTGTAACGTACCTACAATATTTTACCTGACCCGAAAATATATGGGGGTTACGTACAATATTTTTCATTATCCATTTCACTCATCTTCTAACAGTAACGTTCTTTTACAAACAAAAGCTAGGTTAGGATCATTCTTTAAGCATAACAATAAAATTGAAGCGCACAGCTGATTTCTAGCGCTAAACGTCGTTGGCTCCATAGAGGTATATTTTTTAAGTTAAGCACACAATGTTATTTAAATGGGTTTCATTACCTCACCAAGTGAGTTTTTTTCAACTTTACATCACTCGTGAAGTAAAGAAGTTGTATACATCACGCTTGGGATAGGGAAGTTTAACATAACGGGTTAGGTAAATACATATAATACATATAAAAGATGGTAAGTGGTAATCGATCACCACTTACTATCTGTTAATATAAACCATCTGTTAATATATGTCAAACGAAGTGTTAATATACAGAATGTCTCACGAAGAGGTTTAAACGTTTGATTTTATTTTATATTACTGGCCCATTTACCATTCCCCGAACTAAAATGTGATAACTTCTGATGACGACCAACATTTTCAGGACACAAAAATGAATAGATATGTTTCAAAACAACACATTATGTGTGCAAAATAATTAACCCTAGGACTGCCTTCCAAGTCGGCGGTTTTTATGTGTTAATATAGTATTACAAGTGTTATTTGACGTGTTTTTGTACTTTCAGATAATTTAATAACACGTACGAAGCTGATCAAGAAGTTATTTAAATCATTAAATTACTTAAGTTCCTTTGTTGTCCTATTTTTTGGGTGTCTTCTAGGGAGTACAGGGGTCTTTTTAAGTTTGTTTCGTAATCTACTTCCATATTATATGTTTTATGATAACAATAGTCAAAGGTTATAGCTCGATCTTTATGTTTTAACTGACATATTTATATTTCATGAATTTTACAGGTATACTACCCGAAGCCATACAGACTCACTGTGCTAAGTGTACGGAGAAACAAAAGAAAGGTGGAATTAAAGCAATCAAATTCATGATGGAGAAGAAACCTGAACTATGGAAGGAAATTGGTGCTAAATATGACCCAACTGGGGAACATACTAAGAATTTGAGAAATTGAATTTGTTATTAATTTGTTTTGGATAAAATCTTTACATTGAACTTATGATATTGTTTCCTTTTATGAGTTGTATCATCCCTGGAACTGAAATTGCCAAACAAACCATTTGTATATCGAGGTAGCTATAATGAGCTTAAAATAGTTCACGGTTTGTTCAAAAATGTTCTAATTATTATTCTTACATCATATTCTGATTAAAATGTTTAAGTCTATAAATATTTGGACTCAATACAAAGTTGTGACGAAAGATGTATTTAGTTGTTTTGTTATTTATAAATCTACATTGATGAAAGGACTTAAATTATTTTAAGTTTTTATCACCAAGGGATAAAATAGTATAATTATTTTGTCACTGGAAGGTAAAGTAACTGTTTTCAACCTGAGTTCAAGTTTCAGTATGGGCAAAATGAACAAGTGTTGAAAAGACACACTTTATGCCCGTGTGATAAACTTTATTTTTTTGTCTTATTGTATATTCAAGCAAACTAAGTAAGTTAGAAAACTAAAATACTTTTTAAGTAGAGATAACCTTTCAAAACGACTTCCAAATTGTTTTTAGTTTTGCTAATGTATCTGTATAGTAAGTGACTCGATCCTTTCGTCTTTTATGATTGTGTTATAAAAGTGTTATTGTGTTATAAATTATACTATCGATGTATCGAACAATCGACAGGAATGCAACAATAAGCTCGACTGATTGAAACAATCGATACATGCAATTGTTTGGTTCAATTGAAATTGAGAACTGAATAATAACAGCCGAATTTTACCATTGACTATGTATCATATTTATGGTTTATAGGCAAAAAGATGGTGTTTTTCTAGCTCAGCCTGCTGTTTACTGACTTGAGTGGTATTTGAATTTTATTCCATAAACAGCTGAAAACACCAGTTTCATTAATAGAGTCAATCTTATTAGTTACACAATGGCAGCTACAAATTTACCAAATGTAGATACATAACCAATTTTCTGGCATTCACAAAAACCACAGGTATTAAAACAACAAAATAGTTTCCACTAATTTAATCATTATCATCCGTAGTCGTACAATCAATGATCTCATCCATATCTTCCTCGTTGTTCTGCTGTTCTAGAAAGGCTTTGATCACTTTACACTTCATGAAGCTGCAGTCGCAAGGCATTGGATGCGTCTCCGTCTCGGGATCAAGCATGGTCAGGTGGATATTGTACATTCTGTGATTCATTTGGTTCCTTTCTAAAACCAACTCCCAAGCGACCGGATCTTTCTCTTCCACTTCAACATGAACTGGTAAAACGATCACAGTTTGTTTCCAGTGAGTCGGCTCACTTAACGGAGAAGTGGATAAAACCATCCCCTCCTTCCCATTCACTGACGGAAACTCCACTGTGAACCACAAACAAACTCCCTGATAATTTCCTTGTTTGTTGACTGCAACAAACTGTCTTACCGAGATTTTATTGAGCTCCTCGCAACTTGTCCTGTTGAAATCTAGAATCGCTACTTCCTTGCCTTCGGATAGAAGATCGGAAGCAGCAACGCGGGTGATTTGTGGCTCGCCTTGACATCCTTTCCGCAAAGCTTGGCCGAGAGTCGACATCTTGACTCCGTGAAACTTGTCCCAAAGTTCAAAGTACTCAGGGAGTTGACATGGAGCGGAGTAAATGATGCCTTTGTAAGGGAACATTAGACCTCCTTCCTTCAGATGCTTGTCTCTCGCAGCCAGTATGCTGTCTAGCATTCCCTCGTGAAGAAGGTAGAATCCCATCCACTCCGAGATCATCACGTCTACTTTACAGGGTAAAACTACGTTTTCCACTTGCTCTTGTATTACCTAAAACATACAGTTTAAGTGTACTGATGTTACAAAAGTGTGCAGTCTTCGACTACAGATACAGGTGATATTTTAGTAGTCTCAATTAGCTGACCTAAGCCAGCTTCGTAATGGAATAACAGAGGAAATAATTTTAAAAACCAATATAAACATGTTTAAAATCATTAAATTACTTAAGTTGCTTCATTGTGTGCCGTTTGTACGTGCTCAACGCTCAACAGCACAGGTTTTTTTGTTGCACGATTGGCAGACTGCCGCTACTGCCGGACATTGTCTGTGAACTTGTGTTAGGAGAGTTTCATCCACGGAGTCAACAACTCGATGAAGATCTGCAACTATGGGACTAGCCATCCACCTCCACCATCTCTCCTGGGCTGATGTTGGACCCACCCTGACTGCCTGTCACTTAGTTAACGGAGGGCTATGCCAGCACGGCCACCACCAGAAGGCTACCCGCCTACCACCAACTCCAGCCTTACACCGTGCTGCTGCTGAGTGGCATACACCGCTCTTTTTGGCCAGGCATCCAAACTTCCAGCTGCCTGAAAGTCTTTTGGCAAGGTTACAGTCAGGTCAGTCCAGCCCAACACTAACAGGAAGTCACCCCTCAAGACCATTTATGAAGAAGTTTGAATTAGGGATAAAGTAAATAGGCCTGAAAATTTAATGACTTGTTGTTTTCAACCTCGTGTAAACTTAATGTTCCTGTGTAGTCTGTTTAAGTACATGCATAACATTCCCAACTGTCTTTTGGTGCCATTAAAAAGGACAATGGTGTCAACCACGTAACGATGATAAAAAACTGTCTTCTCTTTTAGGCGGTTTTTGTCAAACCAATTTGTTTGTTCTCTAAGTTATTCAAATATATTTCTGCCAAAATACAAGAAGGGTGATCCCATAGTCAGTCCTTCTTTTTGCAAAAATATTTCTTTTTCAAATTGAAAGTAATTTTGTCTTAGAACTACTTCAGTGAGTTGTATCAGCTCGTCAAAAGCTATCTTATTTAATGAAGAGTTATTTTAATAAGTTACCTATCCTTCAGTATAGCAAGTGTTTCATTTATTGGCACATTAGTATATAAATTTACTATGTCAAGTGATGCTAGGAAGTATTTATCTTCCAGTCTTACATTACTTATCTTACTAATTAGGTCTACACTGTTTTTTTTTTTTTTTTTGAACGAGAACTATTTTCTACATTAAACCCTATGTCCCCCCTCTCCCCCCATGAAAAAATTAGGTTTTTTGGGGGCAGCCCCAAATTTTCAAATGTAAACACCTATCATGTGACCCCTCATTTTAAAGGGTTTCTAAAGACAAACCAAATGGTACAAATTAGAGGTCAATATCGCACCCCTAATCAAAATGGCAGTCATTTTTAAATATCCCCTCTTAACTTTTTAACAGGTTAGGAAAACTAAACTCGGCATACCTTTATAAAAAAAAGAGAATTCACCTTTTGGTCAGTATTAAAATATAAAATTGTTTAAGTCAACTGGGGGTGTCCAGACTTTATCTTGCTTGCTCATCTTAAATAATTAAAATGGCTGCCATTTTGATTAGGGGTGCGATATTGACCTCTGGTTTGCGCCATTCAATTTCTTTTGATAAACCCTTTAAAATGAGGGGTCACATGATAGGTGTTTACATTTGAAAATTTGGGGCTATATCACATTCCCAATTAACATATAGGCAGCGTGGCGGTTCCAAGGGGGGGGGGCTACAGGGGCTAAAGCCCCCCCTTGGACCCTGGAAAAATAGATTCAAACGTACATTTTTTTCCTTAAAACACGCAATGTCATAAAACAGACATCAATGTAGTTTTTATTAAACTTAATAAGCGATGGGAGGAGTAGTATTAAGTTCCACATAGATAAACTTTGTGGACAAAGCACAACGAATAAAACAATATTACGCTGGGAAGTTGTACGCATCATCCAATTTTTACAGCAGTCAGCTGTTGACATGGTAGGGCAAAGGCGAGCACTGAGCACGCGAGCGAGGACGGAGAAACAGCTGATTTCCTAAATAGTTAGTTGTCAAATTGTCTGCTAGCCACTAACTTTATTCAGGCATCAATCAGCGGTAGCCCCTAGTAGCCTATTACCATCGACTAAATAAACACTAGTGTTTAAGTTTATATAGTGAATGCTATTACTGAATTCGATACTATACATATTATGACAGATATATGAAACGGAGAAAAACGTAAAGGTTAAAAACGTATCTACTTGCTTGCATGACATGTAAAAGGTGAAATAGAATGTTTTAGGACAATTGGGCACAGTTCTAGCCATTAGAATGGCTTTTAAAGTCACCAAACAGTATTTAGGAGATATGGTTTCGTAGTCTACAGTAGGCCTATGTTTTGAAATTCATGAATGCAAGTTCGTCATAGTTTGATTTTTAATATGTCTACTTGCTCATGACAAAGACAAATAACAGGTGAAATGGGAGGTTTTTGGACTGTTGGACACATATATGGACATTAAATGGCTTTAGAAAGTCAGTAAACAGATCTTAGGAGGATATGGCCTCACAATATGTCCTACAATATGGCCTACAATATGTTTTGAGATTTATGAATGCAATCGTCATAGTTAGTTTTAAAAATGTCTACTTAGTCATGACAAATAAATGGGGAAATGGGAGGTTTTGCACACAGTTCTAGACGTTAATACTGGCTGTAGAAAGTCACCCAACGGCTTTTAGGAGGATACAGTGTGTTTAGAAATTCATTAATGTAATCGTTATAGTTTAATTTTTTAAATGTCTATTTGTTCATGACAAACAACAGGTGAAATGGGAGTTTATGGACAATTGGGCACGATTTTAAGTGTTAAAAATGGCTTTAGAAAGTCACTAAACGGCTTTGAAAATTCCAAATTTTCCCGGGGGAGGACCTCCGGACCCCCTACGTTATTGGGGAGTGCTCCACACTCCCCAAGCCCACCCCCCCCCCCCCTTTGGCAAGGTCCTAGAACCGCCACTGCATATAGGCATTTCTTATCTCAAAAATCCTCTCGCGCTCCGCCCCAGTGGCTCTGGAGTTTCCCATGTTAACCTTATGAGTACTCATATTTAAATGGAATTAAAGAATTTAGCCAGCTGTTTCAACTAAAAAGGTTGGTTCTATGATTTGCAAAAGCATTAAAAGTTATAAGATTTACCAACAGCGTGCAGCACTATTATTTTTTTTTTCATTTATGAAAACAGCTAATTTGAACCAAGCAACAACAAAAAACTTTGATACGCAATGAGAACTGTCTGTTTACAGTTATGTTTATGTTTTAAATTTCACAAATAATTTGTGAATTTTTATTAATTTATTTTTTTCTGTTGTTTGGGTGAGGTAGTAGAACATTATGGCTGTAGATGTGTAATACTATAGTGTACCGTAAATTTGAAGAAGCAAATTTTATTATACTGTGTGTGTCCCCCCTCCCCCATTGCAAACGCAAAGCTTGAGTACAACTGTACTAAGCATTTTATACTTATATGCCAATCCTGTATGAAGGACGGGTACTCTGCTAGTATATATATATTTATCTATATATACGTATATAAAAATTTGAACGAATGGTGTTTTTGGCCTCTGGGAACATCAAAATGAAAAAGTAAATCGGTCCCGAGCCTGGGTCTTACTATGAGACAAACGGTAATAGTTACTTCCCTATAGAGAAATTCGCTAAAACTGACAAAGTAATAACACCACTACTAATAGTAAATTGTAAACTGTAAGATTCTAAGAATTTTGTCTAACTCCTTATGGGATGTTCCCTTTAAGGGATAAAAAAGTGATAATAGCTGAAAACAGTACGGTAGTCATGGCTGCTATTGATATGCCAAGTCTCATTACTTTATCTATATTGGTAAAAAATATATTACACCATTCTGGGACTACTTCTGGGACAACCACACTGTATATTTGACTTACCTCAATTACATTGGAGAGATTATTCTCCTTAACAATATCTGTAGCTAATTTAGCTATTTCACTTCTCTCAATCGCATACACCTTCTTTGCGCCAGCCTGAGCACAAAATATAGACAGGATACCTGTAACAACAGTCACCTTGTAAAGAGACACCTGCTGCAGACTGGGAGTCAAATATAATATAATAGAACTACTAGGCTATGGTAGTGATTTTTGCTGACCAATGTTGTTAGTACAATAGACCACTATAGGTTTGATCAGTGTCCGAGCATTGTTTGTCTTGCTATGAGACGGCACTGTAGATTGAAGGTTTGAATCCTGCCTGAATCAGATCTGCTGTAAAACTCAAGAATCTGTGGCAGAGCCTGATGGGAAAGCCCCACAATCTATATATATAAAAGGCAAAGCCCTCACTGACTGACTGACTCACTCACTCACTCACTCACTCACTCATCACTAATTCTCCCACTTCCCATTTACCTAGGAGGCTGAAATTTGGTACACTGATTCTTTAGGCATTAAATAGGCAAACTAAGTTGTTTTTATTCTGATCGGACTCTCGGGCTCCGCCCCAGTGGCTCTGGAGTTTCCCATGTTAACCATATGAGTACTCATATTTATATGGAACTAGCTGTAACCCGCGGGCTTTGCCCCGTTTAACTTCTTAATTTTCAAGATGATCTCGTTTGCATGGCTCAATCACGTCCTGGTTGAAGTTCGTTCGCTACGCTCACTCACCTTTAGATTGGAGCTCGTTCGCTACGCTCACTCACCTTTAGGTTGGAGCTCGTTCGCTGCGCTCACTTTCCTTCAGGTTAGCTCGTTCGCTACGCTCACTCGCCTCCAGGTTGAAGTTCGTTCGCTGCGCTCACTCACCTTTTGGTTGCAAATTAGCTGTTGTCATAAATGTAAAAGAAATAATAGTGCTGCACCCTGTTGGTAATCCTTGTAACTTTAATGCTATTGAACATCATAGAACAGAACCAACTTGTTTAATTGAAACAGCTGTTAAGATTCATTAATTCCATTTCTCATAAGTTTAACATGGGAAACTCCAGAGCCACTGGGGCGGAGCCCGGAAGGATTTTTGGGATAAAAATATGCCTATATGTTAATCGGGAATATGAGCTATCATCATGCCGAATTTCAGCCCGATCCGACCAGTATTTTTTGCGTTCACTTGTCACAAACATACATCCATCCATACATCCATACATCTAAACTTTCACATTTATAATATTATTATAGTAAGAAGTAAGATTAATGAATCTTAACAACAGCTGTTTCAATTAAACAAGTTGGTTCTGTTCTATGATGTTCAACAGCATTTAAGTTACAAGGATTAACAACAGGGTGCAGCACTATTATTTCTTTTACATCTATGACAACAGCTAATTTGCAACCAAAAGGTGAGTGAGCGTAGCGAACGAACTTCAACCTGGAGGCGAGTTAGCGTAGCGAACGAGCTAACCTGAAGGCAAGTGAGCGCAGCGAACAGCTCCAACCTAAAAGTGAGTGAGCGTAGCGAACGAACTTCAACCAGGACGTGATTGAGCCATGCGAACGAGCTCACTTATGAAGTTAAACGGGGCAAAGCCAGCGGGTACAGCTAGTTATTTATAAATGTTGAAAAGTCTGAATGGAAGTTGACGGAATTGGTATTTTTTTTAGAGTTGAATCTCAAAACAGACAGTTTGTTAGATTATTCTTATCCGTACCACATAGGTGGTCCATCTGGTATTTTGTTTAGCACAAGCATAACTTGTTCAAAAAGAAGATTTTTGTGAAGGTAAGATGTAGAAATATAATACGGTAATAAAAAATAGGCATAACTTATTTGCCTAAAAGTTTAAAAGGGTTACAATTTTATGTTTAAAATTATTTGAACTGAAAACAACTTCCTTTAATTATAAAACCTAACTAAATGTCTGTATGGTTTTTTTTATAATTTTTTGTTTGGGAAAGTTTTGTACCTGTTCCAGTTCCCACATCCATGACGATTTTGTCTTGAAACACTTCTTTATTTGAGAATATTACATTTTTGTAAAATTCTGTTCTCGTCTTGTCCTTCAACATTAATTCATGTACCTGCAATCAAACAAATTTCAAGTTAAAATCAATCTTTTATCAATACTAAACGGCATGACACATACTTTCTCACTCTCAGATATAGGTAGGCCTCAACTATCTAGGCCTATTTGTGCTTAACTATTTACAGGATGGGGTGATCTCAGTGTCTCATGGAACCTTAAATGTTGACCAAATCAACACCTCTGCAATTTTTTCGCTGTTATTCAGATAATAATTCAGATTTAGATCTAATGGAAGGTAGGGGGGATTGTACTCCCCTGGAATCATAATCCCCTGACAGCAGATTATTCTTGGTCATTCTCCTTGGTGAGTCGGTGGCTCAGTTGGTAGCGTGACGGACTTTAGGCCCAAGGCAGCGATGTCGTGGATTCGGATCCTGGTTACTGCCACAATCATTTTATCAGTACAGTTCACCTTTGTACTGTACCGGCTCACTCCTTGCTTTGCTAGATATGTTTGACGCATAGATCTGTAGTCTATGTGGACGGGCAAATGCAAGGTTAAAAGAGTCCGCTAACCTCTTTAAAAAAAAATTCTTTGACCGGATACATATGCTCCCACGAATGTCTCTAGAAGATGTATGACCTGGATCTTACCCCCCAGCTATTGTGCCTCCCTCCGACTCTGATCCCACTGATGAACAGACATTTTAATGAACGATGTTGAAATGATGCTAAAACAAACAACGTCCGCTGAACAATATTTGCTAACATGTCACTGTTCACCAGCGAACATTCGATGTCCGCTAAGTGTGGTCGCATTGACGAACATTCAACAATATTTATAAAGGCCTACACAACGATATTTATTTTGTTGTTATTTTTTGTGTGTAATTCATTTTATTAAAAACCTATTAAAAATTGCAATGTTCTGGATAGCCTAACTCGACAATCTCTGGGTCCACAAATTATCGAGCTGGAGAGGTTTACCCCTTGATTCCCTCTAAGGTAATATATTTCACTAGTAGGCTAAATAAATCATACATACAGTATGAGAAACATAGGTACAGTAGAACCCCTCATATCCGGCCTTGGTTTTACCGGTCCTCTGTTTATCCGGCCCCTTCCAGGAAGCCAATATCAAAATTTTTTTCTCACAGCTTACAGACGTTTAGATGCAAGCACTAGTCTTTGTGACTGATGAAGTCATAAAATAAATTGTTCTCATTATTTATCTGTTTGTTTATACATTTTTTTGCTGAGTCACTATACTCAGTTGAGCTAGGAGGCCTAACCTTTTATCAGTTGGTTGATTATTTCCAAAGTGGGGTTAGTACAGTACAGTACGAGTACATTAATTTTTGTATTTCATAAAATGGTTAAGAATGTTGAGTAGAAATGCATGTACCATTTAAGTCCTAATGATCTTTAAGTACAATTTATTGTCATTTTTACCTCCATTTAATAGGTTTTGTTACCTGGAATCGTAATATTTGTACATTCATTACTTAAAGACTTTAACCTACTATTTTTTTTTCTTTTTACAAACATGTTTATTTTTCTAAAAATTATCCCAGAACAGAATTAAATGATACTTTTGAATGCATAGGTATATTGATTACCTATTATTATTAGGTATGAATTGTCATTTTCATTGTAGGTTGGTTTATCCGGCCAAATAGTTATCCGGTCAGGGACTTGGTCCCGTGGTGGCCGGATATGAGGGGTTCTACTGTACTCAAACTGTAAAAGGGAAATTCTCAATCAAATAATACCCAATCATTTTTCATCATGATTAGAAACAGGCTAAAGGTCAACTATCAAGTACCTTGGCTGCACTTAAGTTTACGTCCTACACTCATTCAAATGAATACAGTGGAACCTTGATCAGAAGACCCTGGATAACAAGTCACCCTTGATAACAAGTGTCATTTTCAAATCCCCTTAAAATTATTTTAGGCTAACCCTAATCAAACCTCGATAAGAAGTCGACCTTGATAACACAATTATATCTTATTCTATACAATCCCCATGAGAGTCTTGTTATAAAGGTTCTACTGTAAGCTAATATCGAATTGATTATTTCATTCGATATATCAAGTTTGGTCAAGTTGGTTAAGTCGATTGATATAATCGATACATCAAATAGTCTATATATATCGATATTTTTCATTCGAATGAGTGTAGAAGTAAACTTGAGTGCAGCCAGTACCTTCTCCAAGCATATATCCCTCATAAGAACAATGTAAAGTGCAGCCATAGGCCTATAACTTAGTACTTAGTTGCATTTAGGTAATAAAGGCTAGAGCTCTGATAACGGTAATAAATCAACGAAGTGAAGCAAAAGCTTATCCTTCGTAGGCCTATACTTCTACATTGTAAATTATTAAGGTTTATCCTACCTTTAGATCGCCATAACTGCTGAAGTAACAAGGATTATGGGAAGACAAATTGCTTCCATACTGGATTTGAGATGAAGAACCATCCATTCTGCCTTCCAAAACCATAGTTCTGTTCTGTTAACTTTTAACTCAAAATAATATTAAGTTTTAACCCAAAGATAATAGATTTTTAGGTTAGAAAACATTCAAAATAAACAAACACGTGCCGTGCCGACAGAATTTAAATGTAAAAATCAGCTGTAGCTGTAAAGAAACAAAGAGAGAACAGTCTGCTAACCGATTCCAAAGATAAGCGACAGAGGAAAAAATGTGGAAAAGAAGAATAGCTCGGAACATCTAATGATTTTACATATAATATGTTTATAGGAGTTTTCTAGTTTTATGGTAAGAGAATACTCCCTACACTCGTGAGAAAACAATTGTTGTTATTGTATACACCAGTGGCATTTCTATGTGAGAAACTCAGACGCTTTCACAACGAAATCCGGGATACTAACTACAAGGCCAGTACTTAACACAACCAAGGCTTATACGATTTTGATGTTAATTCATGTTGTACCAAGCCTCGTGTTTAGGAAATTTTACATCCTAAACTCTTATTTAATTTTAGATTCCGACAGTAACAACAATTACATAATTTTCCATAGATTACAAAAATTAATGCAATTGTACTTGTACGTAGGCCTACGTTATACTATTGTATAACTTATACAATTAATTGATAAAAAAAACCCTTTGTTACGGTACATCAAAAAATAAAATAAAACCTTGGCTTTTGATTCTGTCTTTCTCTGTAACTTATTGTTATCACTCCAATTTGTAAACTTGTTATCATTTTCTTTGTCCTAAAATGTGTATTACTAATAGCATTAACTATATACAGGGTGTTTTTTTTTAACTTGCATCCTTATTTATGTAAAAAACGCAATAGATAGAAATATCCAGTTTGCAGGAATCATCTATTGACGTAGGGGGCACAATTTTTTTTTTTTAATTCAATGTTACATTCACATTCCCCCCTTCCCCCCCTGCCCCCAACTTATTTTTTTTAAATAGCAAGGTACCCCTTGTGACATATCAAATGAAAGAGCATAAAAAAAGAAAATGTTTGATGAAAAAAAATTGAAAATCGGTTCATAAACTTGTGAATATTCCCCCCCTCCCCACCCGGAACTTAATTTTTTTTAATAGCAAGGTACCCCTTGTGACATATCAAATGAAAAAGCATGAAAAAAGAAAATGGTTGGTGAAAAAAATTGAAAATCGGCTCATGAATTTGTGAGATAATCCCCCCCCCTTTTCCCCTACCCATAACTTTTTTTAAAATAGCAAGGTACCCCCCTTGTGACATATCAAATAAAAAATAAATTTCACCAAAAATTTTTTTTTTCATGCTCTTTCATTTGATATGTCACAAGGGGTACCTTGCGATAAAAAAAATTAAGTTCCGGGGAGAGGGGAGGGATATATCTCGAAAATTTATGAACCGATTTTCAATTTTTTTTCATCAACAAACATTAAAACATTTTCTTTTTTCATGCTCTTTTATTTGATATGTCACAAGGGGTAACTTGCTATTTAAAAAAAATAAGTTGGGGGAAGGGGGGGAAAGGAAGGAATGTGAATGTAACGTTGAATTAAAAAAAAAGTTGGGCCCCCTACGTCAATAGATGATTCCCGCAATCTGCATATTTCTATCTATTGCGGTTTTTACATAAATAAAGATGCAAGTTTAAAAAAAAACACCCTGTATAGGTATATATAGTCAATGCTAATAGGTAACTGTTTTGAAGTTCATAACTTATATTATTGTGTAGGCCTACAACCATTGACTCTGTCTATTACATTATTTTAAAATGTTAACAGACAATAAAGATTGATTCAGATATCGATCTATAATCAATGCTTTACGACCGTCCCGTGGGTTAATCTTTAGTGCAACCGTGCAACGTTAGTCTACTGTTTCTCTAATCGCCCACTGGTTGATTCCTTATTTTTTGTTGTTTGTCTGTCACTTCATCAGGTTCAGGGATGTCGGCTGCTAAATCTTAAAACGCGTAGCTGTCACTGTCACTGACATAATGCGTTTTGTAAAATAATTTGTTGTGGCTTTAAAACTGTAGTTTTCAGTATTTTTATGATATTGGTATTACATTAGTGAAATTCAAATTATCATTCAAAATGATGTTCATTAAGTCACATTTAACAGTGATTACATTATGCCCATTTATTTGTTTTCGTGTCACAGCAGATTTAAATCAGGTAGGTTTGTCCAAACATTTACGTAGGCCTATTTAAGTTCGTTGTGGTTAGATTACACTTGCCTTTTGCCACTTTCGTTAATATCCTTCAGTAATATCTTACATTTTCTGCAGTTGGACCCTACCATATGGAATGGATAAGTTAGCCTATAAAAATACATTTAGAAAAACTGTTTCTCAGTAATTTTAATATTTTATGCTTATAAATTTTAAATTTATCTAAGTTATGCTGAAATAATACTGAGGAATGGTGCCAAAGTGTCACTCTAGCCTATGTAAAAAAATACAACTGTATTACATTTTATAAAACTAAAGCTCCCATTATATTCGATTAGACGCTAGATAACATTCCGCTGACTCCATGTAAGAGCACACGTGACCTTTGAGTAATGCTTGCTCAGGATATGAGATCCAATATCCACATCTAAAACATCTGTGCTAAGAGACTATGATAACCTCCACTCTCTTCAGACACTGTATTGTGCTCTTATACGTCCTTTGCTTGAGTACACTGTGTGGTATGGACTCCACGTCAAATAACTCTGGTTCGGGAGCTTCAAGTCATTCAGAATAGGTTTATCTCCTTGGCTGTCTGATGGGGGTTGCCTTCAGAAGGGTTCCGGACCTATGTAGATCCCTTGAGCAGTTATTAAATCTTCAAAGATAAACTTAAAAACCAGAAGAAAAGTTATTGGAGTAGCGTTTCTGCACAAGCTGGTGAATGGTGTTGTTGACTATCCGGAGCTGTTGGATAAAAATGTTTCCGATGTCGGGCTGGAACAAGATCTACGGAGCTATTTGGAAGACGCGCCAACTATGAAGCAAACAGCACCTCGAATAGACTCCAGAAATTTGTAAGCAAAGTCTCACATTGCATTGCCTTTTTGCTGACAGTTCTGTCACAGGCAAGATAAAACTGAGTTACAGTAAAGAAGGTCATTCAACTGATGAGCTCCTGCTGCAACCTAACACCGATAGCAGTGGCGGATCCAGAGGGGGCGACCGCCCCCCCTCGGGCATACATATATATAGGCCTATATTTTTTTTACTGCATGTAAAACAGTAGTGCATACACATTGTGTAAAATAATTTGTCACACTAACTTTGGACAAAGAAATGGTATGAAACTGCCATTTTGGAGACTTAGTTTACAAAAATTTTTCTTGAGGGTACCCCAGACCCCCTGGTTTGCCCCCCCCCCCCTTGTGACTGTTCTAGATCCGCCACTGACGATAGTTAGGTAACCTATATTTTGTTACATATCTTATAATGTTGTAATGTTAAGTAGGCTATTATCAATTATTCTTGTTAACTATTCAAACAATTTATGATTTGTTATTGTTATTGCATTTTTACAGAGTTTATCAATGCTATTAGTTGTCGTTATTTGCTACACACTATATTTTTCTGTTGAAGTAACTTATATTTATATTTTATTATAATTCATATCATACAGTAACTTAAACACAATTTTTGTACCATCATTTGAATGTAACTAATCATTAGTTAATAGATAAGTTCATCTTGCTAGGTGGTTCATGTGAGGTGTTGGAATGTGTGCTACTCAATGTATCTTAAAGTAATGTAATGGTTTTCCAATTGGAATTTAAATAGCATTAGGCTAATATACCTAAAACCTAGTCAATAAACCACAAACTTCCATCCTTGAATCAGTGAAAACTCTTATAGGTTTGAGATAAAACTAAAAAGGATACATAGGCTGATTTTATTTTATAAAAACATATGCCTATCATGTACGCCACAAAAGTGATTATTGTTCATGCATACTTATTGTTTCAAAAACATCATTAAGTGCTTACTGTTTTTTAAATTTGTTTATAGGATTCTAGTCAACCAGATGCATTTCTTTTCAAGAATATATTCCTAGAAAGTAGAAATGAAAGATCAACCCAGTTTCAGAATACCCCGCTATTGAATGGTCCACCGAAAAATGAAGGTAACCTAATCTTACCTAGTAGCATAAACAAATATAATAAATTATAGACTGACAGCTGTGCTGCCGTTAGCATAAGTTCCGGTGTCCACCGCTAGGAGTAATGTGTAGTTACGGTGCACACCACTGCAGCGTCTACTAGTAGCATGCAGCTCCTTGCCTGAAGCGGTGTGCGCCGTAACTACACGGCACTCTTAGCGGAACCTTCCTTTCACAGTCTATATATATTCTACTTGTCTATGCTAATAGGCTAGGCCTAATTTACAATGTAGGCCTACAGCATAGATACTTTGTGGTGCCTTTGGTTGTAGTTTATTAAAATTCTACAGTACACTGTAGACCTATATACTATTTTAACCTGATGGATGAGTTTACAAGATACACAGCAGATCTACATAGTGATGAGACAACCAATTACTTTTACATATTGTCAGTTGATTGTTTTCTTGTTCATTTGGTAGCCCTATATTTTTTAAGGATGGGTGTCGGTTCACTGGTTTTTATTCAACCCAAGACTGAGGATGGGTAAAAATGTTGGTTTTTGTTTATTGCTTAACATACAATAATTTTGCTGTGGTCACTGGTGACGACGAGTTTTGGTGTTTGTGGTGATATAAAAAAAAACAAAAGGTTTTATAAATTAATGAATCGTCATCCTTTGCGAGTACCGATAATGATGTCCCTGTAGTAGCGGTAGATGAAATTGTTATTTCCAGTTTATAATAACGATGTCCCCGTGATGGCAAAAGTCGTAGACGATTTTTTTTTACGATTGTGGGTGACGTCATGTCCCTGTGATAGCGGGGGAGAAGTTAAAAAAACGAATCACGATTCAGCCGCGATTGCAGGTGGTATGAACGATGTACCCGTAATTGTGGCAGGTGTTAACAATTCTGCCGTGGTCGCAGGCAATTCTTTTGCATTTCTTTTCCCCATGCGTTCCTTGCTGGATCCGCCACTGATCATTATACAACACAACCAAAGACTCAGCAATCTAAATTAAACATGTAAGAGCAACAAAAAGTTCCATTATCTGGCATCTAGATGTTTGCTGCTAAAAATCAAATTTAATTATTTTTTTCAAAATCATTGAGGAACTTCATGTACTGATAGCTGTATGTTCACGGTAATTTAATAACCAAATATTAAAGAATTTGTTTTTTTTTGTTCTTCTAAAAATTGTACTTACAGGTCTAAGATTTTACATAATAATCCTACCAATTTTAAAAATTATTAAATTTTTAATAACGTAATGTAAAATTGTTATCATTAAACCTTTGGCTCAATTTCTTAAAAAGCTTTTGTGCCTCGTGTTAAGACGCAGTAAACTGCCATTGGCACTTAGAAAAATTCACAGTTGCAAAGGGCGGCAGATTTAGGACTTGCCTCCCCCTCCCTCCCAAGAAAAGTGTGTAGCTGCGGCCCTGTCCATGGCTTTAAAATGGGTGCAGTTTCGCAGACAACCTGTCATATTTATATTGGTTTAATAAATCGATATAAGGTCTCACTTCAAAAACTTTTTCTCAACGTAAACATTGAATAGAGTAACTTAATTTTATGTTCTGTTTACGTTTTTATTGATGTTAATCACTTTAAGCCCTAAGCCTATTTTTACATTTCTATTAGCGAATTTCCCTATAGGGAAGTAGCTATTACCGTAGGTCTCATGGTAAGACCTAAGCCCGGGACCGATTTACTTTTTCATTTTGATGTCCCCAGAGGCCAAAAACACCATTCGTTCAAATTTTTATATATCTATATATAGAGATATATATATATATATATGTGTCCATCCGCACGATAACTTGAGTAATTTTTGTCCGATTTTGATAAAATTTGGTTTGAAGGTGTAAGGCGGGATAAACTTGAATGAGTTCGCGAACCAGCATGATCGGACTATGGGAACGGGGGTTTATGGGGGGTTTTATGGGGTAAAAATAGGTTTTTCCCATTTTTGACCCTAAAAACACAAAATTTCACAATTTCTTTTCAAACCATTTTGTAGAGCTTAAAAAAACAAATAATTTAGTATATTGAAGCGTTATTATGCGCCTAATTGTTACGGAGAAAATTCAAAAAAATTGTAATTTTAAAATTCCCATGTTATTCTTATGGAGAATAAGTCAACTGTTGTAGTTTGCTTGTTTATGGACATATTTTGATCAAATTTGGAAAATACATTAATTTCTTACTAAACCGCAGTACCTTTTAATATTTTACATAAAAAAACTTTTTTACCCTCCCTGTTGCAGCAAACCTAAGTACTCATTAAACTAATTCTGTTTAAATAGGGAATAAATGTGATATTTTTAAGGAGACATTTTAGTTTAAATCCAATCAGGCAAATGGAAATTCGCTAAGTCTGCAGGTTTGCTGCGGCGGGGGTATTTTAATATTATAATATCTCCAAGCTATACACAGACTAAGGTTTTAAGTGTTCATGAAACTAACAAAAACAAAATATATTTTATGAACTTTAAGGAAACTTTATTCCTATGATTATCGCCTAGGGTTCGAAAATGTACAGTTTCTTCCATTTTTAGTCGTAAAAATTTAGGATAAAACCAAAGATGAAAAAGAAACAATTTTATTAATGTGATAGGGAAGTAGCTATTACCGTAGGTGGCACGGTAAGACTTAGGCCCGGGACCGATTTACTTTTTCATTTTGATGTCCCCAGACGCCAAAAACACCATTTGTTCAAATTTTTAAATATGTATATATATATATATATATATTTATATATATATATTTGTGTGTGTTGTATTGGATATTGTTCACATATAGGGCTACTGTGATTAATATTAATAAAAAATAAACCATAGTACCCTGTTTTTAATATTTTTAATGACTTAATGCATTTAGACTCTTAGGTCATGGTCACAGTCACATTAAAATTTTTTAGTTGAGTATGAGAACTTCACTTCGTTTCGTCCAATTAAATCTAAATATGTAAACAAATAAAATAAATAGAATCATATGTTTAAAGTTCAACTAAATTTAAATCTTGTCTTGGAAAAATATATAATTTTGAAAATCGTTAAGCCGATGGTTTTATTTATTGATTTTGTAGATATATGTGTGTGTGTGTGTGTGTCCGTGAACACGATAGCTTGAGTCATTTTTGTCCGATTTTGATGAAATTTGGTTTGAAGGTATGGAGGTGTAAAGCGGGATAAACTTGAATGAGTTCGCGAACCAGCATGATCAGACCATGGGAACAGGGTTTTGTGGGGTAAAAATTGGTTTTTCTAATTTTTGACCCTCAAAAAAAATTTCCCAATTTCTCTCTAGACCTTCTTAATGAGCTTAAAAAACAAATAATTCAGTATATCAAAGTGTTTTTGTACGCTTATTGGTTCCGGAGAAAACTCAAAAAAATTGTAAATTTAAAATTCACAAGTTATTCTTATAGAGACTATTGTAAAGTGTTGTAGTTTGCTTGTTTATGGATATATTTTGATCAAACTTGGCAAATTTATTGATTTTATACTAAGCTATAATTATTTTACTTAAAACACACTTTATTAGTTCCCTTGTAGCAGCAAACCTAGGTACTCGTTAAACCTAATGTTTTTTAAATAGATTAGGCCTATTTGAAAATAATTTCAGGCAAATAGAAATTCGCTTAGATCTGCCATTAAATGTTTGCTGCGGCGGGGGTATTTATTATTTATATCATTACGGTGAAATTAAATTTGCAATTAATATTGAACCAAATTATAATTCATATATTAATATTTAGTCCGATAATATATCGCAGGTTCACTGCAGGACTGTACTCATAAAATTCTCTCATTAGTTGAGATTGTAGCACAACGGATTGAGTAATCAAATAATTAAATAACTTACGTCATCAATCCATAAATTGCTGTGGAGTACGCGTTTCAACCATCAGGTCATCCTCAGCTCCACTGTCACTAGGTGGCAAATTCAACCTAGTGACAGTGGAGCTGAGGATGACCTGATGGTTGAAACGCGTACTCCACAGCAATTTATGGATTGATGACGTAAGTTATTTAATTATTCTCTCATTAGGCCTACATTACTTACTTCAGTCCTCGCCACCCTAAGTTGAGGTAGCCCAAGGCTGCACGGCGTATATCTAGTGCGGCCTTTGGCTGCCTCAACTTAGGGTGACGAGGACTATAGTCTACTGTAAGTTTACTGTGCTGTAGTCTACTGTAGGTTGACTACGTTAAAAAAACATATAACTGACCAAATTATTCTTGTCAACTGAATATAACTGTAAGATTTTGTAATCTACATGCAAACTATAATCGAGCCGTCAATTAATTGTCAACAACACATCAACTACCAAAGGACAAGGGAGGGTTGTACTATTAATTGAATCTGCTGTTACAAGGACTCCTGTCATAAGAGGAAAGTTCATAGCCTCACGAGCCAACCAACTGAAAACAGTTGTTTAACCTTCAAAAAACTTATTTTTGTTTAGACTAAATAATTCAGTCAAACAAACTCGAATGACTAGTTTCACTCGTTAAACTGTTCAACTAATTAAAATAATCACAACCGACTGAATCCGTTATTTAACAACAATCAATTGAATCAGTGGTTTTCCGCTGGTTGTCCCCCATCTCTAGTTCTACAGATTGTACTTGTGTTGACAGAATGGCTACTGGACACCAAGTGGCCGCAAGCTTCAGACATTCAGCTGGGACAGGTGGGCGGAGTGAGCGTCAACTCCCGGGGAGAAGTAGTAGTCTTCCACCGAGCTGACCGGGTCTGGGGCGCTCTGACGTTTGACCGACTCAACCGTTTCCAGGAAAAGGTATGGAAAAGCTATGCAGGAGCTGCAAGTGTTTTTTTATGTGCTAAACGATCTGATACTCTTGCATTCGTTATTATAAGAGTTTTTTTTTCATGTTGTAAAGGATTGCCTGGGTAGCCTAGTGGTTATAGTGCTCACCTTCAAATCTGAAGTTTGCTGATTCGATCCCAAGCGAGATCGTTTCCAGACCCAGATGTCATTTGTTATAGGGCTATGAATTAATGATGCTTTCCCAAAAAAATGTTGAATGTTAGATATAGTAACAAGACCAGGGTTTGGACCGTTCCCCTACAAAACATAAAATATGCCAAAAGCCCTTTTGCTCGATTTGTACCATATCATATTTATATCTTGATTTTCCCATTGTTTGTCACCATGGCTGTGCTAAATGTCATGCGGATCACTTCAGACATTCAGGAGGAATACTTAGAAAACAATTAAAAGCAGGAGTGTAGTAAGAGCTTTGCTCAGTAAAAACCATGTCAAAAACAATTAATACAGTTCCACCACAATCAACACTATGATTAGAAAATGAAAAGGGAAATAAAACACTTGTCTGAATTTGAAACTACATCCCAAAATGCCGAACCAAAACCAAAATACATATATATAGGCCTACCAAAGAAATACCGTGCAATAAAATATCTGGCAAAATCAGCAAATCTTTCTAACCGATATCTCCTAACAATTTATTTGTTTTGAGTTAAATGTGAAAAGTAACAAAAATTGCATTTGTGAATTTAATTTCAATTGTTGCAGGACAATGGACCTATCGCTTCATCTACAGTATTAGTGTTTCATCCAGAAACTGGGGCTTTATTACAACAATGGGGCGAGCATATGTAAGTTTTATTATTTCATTTATTTTCCTTGCCTATACATTTAAAAATATAGATATTTTTCTAATTTTACTATTCATTTTTTAAATCACTCAGCTTAAGTTCTTTATGTTTTTGTCAAAACTAGGTCTATTTTTTCTTTTTCTACTAACTTTAAGAGAAATGTCAGACCCATTGCTAATTTTAAGGCAATTTCCAATCTGTCGACAATAGTAGCTTGACCCAACATGACCACAGTATAAAAGAGTGAGTTACTTGGAGCTGTAACAATAGTAATGCAACATACGTAGCAGTTGCACCACGTCCAAAGCCGCTGCCAGTTGCACTACGTCTAATAGCTCACCGCTATCCCACAACGTCCAGAGTTCCTGCATACGGAACTAGGTTAGGTTAGTATGCACTATAGTCGGTAAAACAGTTTTCACAGTTCTGGCGCTTTGGACATCATGGGACAGCGCTGAGCTATTGGACGTTGTGCAACTGGCAGCGGCTTTGGAACTGGTGCAACTGCTACTTTTTTAAGAGTGTAAAGTGCGCTGTTTCATGACGACCAATCTCATGACGTCCAGAGCTTGTAGATAGACTATGTTTCTTGCAGTTACTCCAACAACAGTCAGATATTTTAAATTGGACATCATGAGACAGCTCAAGAATTATATTTTCGACGTCTTGACACTTGCACTTGGACATAGTGCAGTGCATTACTGGTATGAGTTGATCTGTGCAGTTTTGTCACAGACAAAGATCAGCTGTTTCATCAGTCAGGACAATTTATTTAAAGAAAAATGATCGGGGACAGCTGGTTCCTGTTTACAAATGAGTACATAGGCTATCCTATACTATCTTAAATACAAAATAAAATACCCATTACATTTTTTTTATTAACTTATCCACTCGTGATATAATTTTGTAGCAAGTGAATGTACTTGGATTAAATCATTGACTATTGGATACTAAGTAGGCCTAGACATTCCATCAAAAGAACATAGTTGTGTGAGTCAGTCAAAGAATGAGCTAGTGTCTAAAATTTTATTTTCTACCTTATTTCACAGAAATCAGTAAATTACATCAACGCGATCTGTCAATGGCTCACATCAACTACAATGACTTTGATTAAAAAACTGGTGACATGGATTTTAACATGGGGATGTCTAGTTGTATCAATAGTCAAAGATTAAATATTATGAAAGAGGATAGTGAATAGTCACTGTACGTCTAATACAGAAATATCCTAATACGTGAAGACGATTTCTACGAAACACTACTCCTCCGTTAATAATGGTCAGATTTTTACAAACGAGGTGTCAAAATTAAGTATTTTTTGTGTAGACGTCCCCTTTCACAAATTCCTGTAATAAAAGTCTTCGGGCTTTGCCCCACAGGCCATCAAAATCCCATTGTATTTCTTATGAAGAAAAGTGTTTGTTTATTTAAACAGACGAATAAATTGTACCTACTAATTACAGCTGTTCATGGTAAACACATGATACACACAAGAGTGTTCGTTTTCAGAGTGAGTTCGTTTTCAGTTTTGATAGATGGAGTGGAGTGAGCGTTCATTTTCAGAGTGAGTTTGTTTCCAGTTTCGACAACTGGAGTGGAGTGATTGATTACATTATCTTTGAGTTGACTCTTTTAAGTCAACGGAAATTGTGACTGTTTGTTAAAAAAACGCCTTTAATATTTTGCAATTGCTCGAATTCGAGCAACAGGTGCACTAGTTTTTAATGCTTGGACCATGTAAGAACAGTATTACTGTCAACAATATACTAAATGGTTTTATACTCATTATTACAATTGATATAGCCTATGGGCTTTTAGTTTCAAATATGGATGTCTCAATAGATATAATAGATTTAAAAACTAATATAAAATATATATAGTAAATACATTCCAATACTGTTTAGTGAAAACAAGCTAAATTAAATCTTCTATGTAGCTGTATATAGTCATAAATACCCCGGTATTTATGAAAAATAGGCATTTACTAGAATACTATGCTTCGTGCATAGTACTAGAAATGGCAGTTATTGTTGTACGCAGACGATTAAAACCTAATTAATTAAGTTAAAAATTACCAAAATCTTGGACTTTATTTATTTATTTATTTTATTTTCCAATGCTACAAAACAGCACATGCCAATTACTCTGTAGCATTATTAATCATGTAAAAAGAACGTTAACAAGAGTGTTACAAGATAGAAATAAATACATCAAGGGAAAAATTTCCGTCTTCTATGGTGGCAGTCATATAACAGTTTCACTCAAAATATAAATATAAGAATATAAAATATAAATAGGAATGACAATATAAAATTTAAATATACAGTAACAAGAGAATTTATACTAACTAAAATAATACTGATGGTCATGAATCAAATGTAATAAATATGCAATAAATATAATATAACAAATAAATAGGTGATATTTAGACAAATTATTACTTAAGGTTGATAAGAAATTTTGAATTCATTTGACAAACAGACATTTAACATTTTTAGTGATAAGTAAAATATATCAAACTGATAGCACAGAAAACATACTAGGCCTACTATAACCCAGAATGCCAACTGCATGGTTTTTACCATGCAGTTGGCATTCTGGGTTATAGTAGTATGTTTTCTGTGCCTATAGGCATTACAAGTGCGAGACATTATATTTAGTGGGGAATTGAATCCAAGATTGGTACGAGAGTAACAAGGGGTACAAGAGTGCTGCGTGAATTGTGTCATGGAGCGTGGAAATTGATTTGTCCCAGCAAGTCATTATCGTCCAGAACTCCGCTCACCAATTTATGGAGATAAGATAAGGCGGCCAACTTCCTTCTGTCACTGAGACTAGTCATATCAAACATGGTCAAAAGCTGGTGGTATGAAATGTTAAATGTATAGTGACCAAATGTTTTAAAATCTTAAAGATCTTTTTTGAATCGCCTCAATCATGTCTACAAGATAAAGCTGATGAGGATACCATACAAATGATGCATATTCTAATCTTGAGTGCACCAATGAACAAAATAATATTTTACTGAGTTTAAATTTCTTAAAAAGCTGCAAGATCTATGAATGACACCTAATACTGAATAAGCTGCCTTACAAGTGCTCATTACGTGTTCTGCAAATAGAAATTGGACTTGCCTGAAATGAAAATTTGAGTAAAGTTCAATCCTGTTTACTAAAATATAAACTTTTTTAACTGTCAAAAAACCAACCAAGAAGCGTTTTTGTGCCCTTACAAAGGAAAGAAACAACAGAACTAAACATCTTAGTTGGAAATGCAAAAATAAAATAAACCAAAATAATTTTTAAAAACTAGTTAAGAATCATCAGCTGCAAAAGAGTTATTATTAATTTAAAGAGTTTTTTTCAATGTAAAAAAGACTAAAAAATGTTGAGGTGCTCTGCTGGGAAAAAATAAACAATACAACTGTATGCAATTCCTACTTTTCTGTAAAGTGAAATTAAAATGTAAAAATAAATAGTTGTCTGACATTGACATTTTCCACTTTTCATTTACGTACATACAATATAAATAAAGGATTTTGATTCTGATTCAGTTAATATCCTTAGTAGCACAAATATGTATTATATAAATATTTTATATATTTAAAGTTGTATTTGCCAGAACCTCGAATAAAATATATAAATAATATATCTTTAATAAAAGTTTGATATATTCAAATATATATTTTAAATATTACCAAAAAGTAATGCAAAATATAAACTAAATATAAGTTTTGAATATATAAAATAGATTCATAATATATATTGATAAAATAAGTATTGAATCCATAATATACATATTTTATATGTATATTTTTCCTATTAAATATTAAAAAAAATTATGTGTTGAGAATATTTTAAATATATATATATAAAATATTTTTGAAACTATATTATATATTTAAAGTATTTATAAATATATTTTGAAACAAGTCAGATATTTTTAATAATAAAATAATAATATATTTGTAGAATATATAGCCTATAATCTATTATAATTAGCAAATAATTAATGGGCATCTTTTTGTTTTTTTTAGTGTCTATCAGTTTATACATGCATTTTTTGTATGATAATTGCTATTGTGAAAGCGTTAAAATTAAGTAAATAATAATACAAACTCTGAATGGTGTCACTCTATCATGCACGTAAAGAAAAAAATTACGCATATGGTTAAGAGGCAGTATACATGTTCAACAGCTACATGTGGGTCAAACCAAAAAAAAGTGTTGATTGGTTTGATTTTTTTAATTGCAATATGTGACAATGAATGTGATCATAGAAATATCGAATGATTGGCTAGAAAAGGGTGCTAGTGACTGGCGACCTTTTAAGAAACTAATTACGGTTGTATATGACGTTCTAAAAATAATTATTTGATTTACATATGCCATAAATTACATAATATTTGTCATAGTATTTCAATTAGTTTTTGTAGTTTACTGTATTTGTATTTGTGGAGACTACTCACTATTCACTGCAGCACTATTTAACTCAACTACTTGATGCCAAAACAGATTAACAGAATCATATTATACTGTAGTACCGGTATCAAAAATATTTCAAGTATTGCAACCATTGCAACTAACTCTTTCATCATTTGAAAACTTATTCTATCAACAGTCATAAATAGCTCAAAGGTAAGGTAAGAGGCTCATAAGGAGATGGACCCAGGTTCGAGACCCATCTGGGCCAAAAAAATTTTATCCAGTAATTTTTTCAAAATTTGTTTTTGTGAACTATTTAATCAATTTACTCAACTGATAATTGTGCTTTTCATACTAAATCTTTATTATTTTGTGTTTTTATGTTTAGGCCCCATGGGATGTTTGGAAGTGATATTAAATACATTTTTTATTAAAATATTATTCACTAAAATATATTATTGGAACATATTTTTTAAATATTTAATAGATTCAAAAACATATTTTTTATATATTTAATATATTTAAAATATTATATAAAATTGACAGTAATACACACTTGAGATGTATAAAAAAGATTTTAAATATATTTATTCATATGTATTTAATATATATTTGTGCTACTAGGGATATTACCCAACATTAATTTTGCACCGGTACAGACCTGTTACATCAGACTTTACTTTTCAATCTCTCGTTTTCAGGTTTTACCTTCCCCACGGTATCACAGTTGACAAGGAAGATAACCTGTGGCTGACAGACGTTGCTCTGCACCAAGTGTTCAAATTTCCTCCGCTAACTCTCAACCAGAAGTCTCCACTGTTGGCTTTGGGAAAGCCGTTTATTCCCGGCAACAGTGCGGTTAGGTTCTGCAAGCCTACGTCCACAGCTGTGCTGGACTCAGGGGATTTCTTTGTGGCCGACGGTTACTGCAACTCTCGACTAATCAAGTTCAACAAGGCCGGCGAGAAACTTATGGAGATTGGGCATTCTACCGTGTCATATGGTAAGGGAAATGCGTTATGTAGCCCAATAGATACTAATTGTATTTCAATCAAAAAGGTTTAGATTTTTCTATTAAAAAAACTGTGTGATCAACCTCGGTATTTTTTCTAGTATTTTCTTATTTTAAGTGTATATAGTTAATTAAGAATTATCCTGCCAACATTTGTTTTTTAAGATTTTGATTAAAATGAAGTACGTTATTTGGAATTTTAAAATACCATAAAAATATTAGTGTTGGTAAGGTTCATAATATTTTTAGGTAACATTTCAGCCCAGTTGGTTTGTTAGTTTTTGTGTTGTTCAACAAGTGCTCAAACAAAGTGCCAATCTACTTTTCAATGGAGTAAAATAACACCTGAACAAATAGTTGCCATGGTTTCCAAATTTTCAAACTTCAAAAGCATGGACTGTTATTGGTTATTGGACAACTACATTGTCAAGAAAACCATTCATCTTATATGTAAACCTCTTGCGTTCATGTACAATAAATGCTTAGAATCTGGTTATTTTCTTGAATCACTACAAATCTCAAAAGTAATTCTAGTTTTCAAAAATGGTGAAAACATTTGCCACGAAATTATCGTCCAATATCAATTGTCCCAATTTTTTACAAAATATTAGAATCCTTAATTTATGATCAACTAAATCAATATTTTGAAAGTCATGATCTTATTACAAGTAGCCAATTTGGATTCAGGGCAAAAATACAACAACTGCAGTTCTGAAAATTGTAAATGAAACCTTAGACGCCTTCGAAATCAAAAATTCTGTCATGCTCTCTCTTTGTGATCTAAAGCAAATTATTTGACTGCATTCCATTTGAAATTTTTCTAATGAAACTAAAATTTTATGGAATTAATGGTGAACCTTTGAAATTAATTGAATCTTACTTGACCAATCGGAAGCAGTTTGTGTCAGTCAAAAACAATAGGCTAATTCAGTTTTGAGAGATGTAGGGATAGGTGTTCCGCAAGGCTCAGTTCTAGGACCATTTTTCTTTATCATTGCAATTAATGACCTGTCAGTAAATGTTGTGTCAAACTCTGTTATTTGCTATGCAGATGACACAACAATACTCTGTAGACATAGAAAAATTTAAATTTTAAACACCCTGGCAGAGTCTTCCCTTAGTAATGCAGTTGCCTGGTTCTCAGCCAATAAACTGTTTTGTAATGAAACTAAAACTCAAACTATTACTTTAAGTTTAAACAAAGATTTAGAAAATAAAACCGTAAAACTTTTGGGGATATATATTGATTCAAAATTAAACTGGGGATCCCATATAGAACATGTATGTAAAAAAATATCCAGGGTTTGTTATCGTATCTGGAAACTAAGTGATTTTGTTTCTGGTGAGTACCTTAGAATGGCGTATTTTGGTCTTCTGGAATCACACATAACCTACGGTCTCCTCTTATGGGGCCATTCCTCACAAACAAATGATATTTTATTGATTCAAAAGAAAGTAATTCGCAATATGGGTAGGGCGAGCCTTGTGGAGCACTGTCGTCCATTATTTATTAAACTTAAAATACTCACTGTTGTAAATTTGTACATTCTTTGCTCATTAATGCACATCAAAATGAACTTACAATAATTTGTCACAAGAGAGAGCATACACAACCACAACACAAGAGGGAAGGTGAGACTTGATATCCCAATGCACAGATTAGCCAAAACTGGGTCATCTCACAAAATCAACTGCATTCAATTTTTAATAAACTTCCTTCATATGCTAGAACTGCACCAGTCAATGTTTTCAAGAGGAAATTCACGATTGGCTATTAAAAAATCCGTTTTATTGTTTAACTGAGTTTTTAGACTGTCCTGTGATCCTAGATTAATTTGTAGATAGAATTGACCAAGAAATGTTGTTGTTATGTCAGTAGTATTATATAGGTTTATGATTGTTATATATGTAGATTTTCTTTTCCTCAGTATTATGATAGATTTAGCCTACCTATATTGTAAGACAAAGCCTATTTTTATTTTTATGTAATATGATCAATGGTGAATAAAGATTTATGATTTCTGATTCTAATTTCTGTTCATCTAGAACAAAAAGATACCTTGTAATTTGTTATTTATTGTATTAAAAACTGTCATGGATGAAGTATGTTTTCTCTTGCAGGCTACAACACTCCAGGACCATACGAGTTCCAGATCCCTCATGCTCTTACGCTAGCTCCGGACAAGAATCTTGTCTGTATCGCAGACAGAGAAAATGGACGAGTTCTGTGCTTTAGTTCAAACAACGGCACATTTATGTATCAAATATCTTCTCCGCAGATTGGATCTCTTGTCTATAGTGTTGCATACACTCCAGCTCAAGGTAATTTTGACTTAAAGTAAAAAATAACCGTAAAAGGACGTTTTTATAGTAGTAGTCTTATTTTATTGGGAAAGAGCCTATTCTGACACAAGAGACACAACATTTTATTTATAACTAGCTGGCCCGACAGACGTCGTCCTGTCCTACTGTGGTTTTATTTCAAATGCTCGTTCGCATGGCTCAATCACGTCCTGGTTGAGCCTCCTACACTGCCTCCTACTGGCAATTTGCAAACTCTGTAGGTAGTGGCAAGGCATTTTTGGCAATTTTGCAGTTATATTTTTGAAAATTCATGTAAAACAACAGAGCAAACCTATCAGTATACTTAAATTGTTTGTAATGAAATGAAGAATTTGAAAATGGCAACAGAATGAATATTTAGAACAGTAAATATTGACATTAGGTAGAAAAGTTTTAAAAATTGTTTTTTGAATTATGAAATATTAAAGTAAAACTTTGCTGCATTAACCAAAAATTTTGCATGTAAAATTCAACATAGGCTATACAAAATGTTTGGAATTTATTTCCTTACAATGAAATGTAAAAAGTTTCAATTACCATTTATCACAAAGTTACCTATGACCCAAAAACATTAAAATGCCAAGTTTCACAATTTTGCACTACAAATTTCAAACAAAACCCAAATAAATGTGTTATCAAGAAATGTTGTAAAAGTACACATTTTTGTAAAGGCAATAAATTTGAGATCAAATGAAGTAAGAATATTTTTCTAGAAATTCATTTTGTTATTCACACGTGTTCATTATTTTTCAAACACATAAAATCCACATACCAACTAGGCTATATAAAATGAAAGTAAATTTATTCCCCCACATGAATATATATATAGTTATAAAGGCAAATATAAATAAATAAATATTGTATAGTGTTTGATATAAAATGCTGCTGTGCCTTTTTCATGTGGCAATCAAATAGTTTGTTCATTATGGCCCAATGTTTCAAAAACTGGCTAAATGTAGTGTCCCAAACCTCAAATTTAGTAAGTCTGTCCACAAGAAACAGTTTACGAACTAAATATGTACAAATTTAATTTACAACTAATAAATTTGATTCAAAGTGATAAGGTCACACCCGCAATATTCGTTGTTGGTAAACAGTCAATAAAGTTCACAAAAACCGGCTAAAAGTAGTGTCTTAAGTTTCTAAAATAATGTCACATTTCAGTCAAGGCACAATAAATAATATCAAAATTAATATTTACACATTTACAACTTATAATCACGGTCTAAACTGATAAAGTAAAATCACACCAAAACTCGACTTAGTTGTTGGTCAGCAGAGATTGAGGTTAGTTAGTCAGACAAATATTCTCAAAAATAACAGCTGATAGCTTCAACACCAGTGGTGCAATCTAAAAAAATTAAATACCACAATGCACAGAATTTCATTGACTATAGAATGAGATAAATTTCAGTGAATAAAACGTGTTTTACGACTTTGACTATTATAGTCGCTCTGCCACTTTACGAACACGTAAAAATTGCTTGATTTGTTTTTGTTGTTGTGAGATCATATGTAATTATATCAAAATTATTTGTGCACCATAATATAGGAAAATTCTTACTTATTGCATGGTACCACTTGTTTCTTTGTAGACAAAAAAAATATCCCTTGTTATATATATTTTTTTAAACCATGTTTGGCAGTTTTGTGACACGTACATGGTGCAACTAACTTGCAACTGAAATTTTTGTTCACTTTATTAGAGCTTAATTACAGTGATCTGATTATGAGATAAAGTTGATCTATGTAACAAATTGCAAGTTTAGAATCTTATCTTTCTACAGGTTTAAAATTCCATTTTACAATGGTTTTTAAGGATTTATTTGGATTTAACCAAAACCTTACAAAACGCGGCTATTATAGTCACTGCCACTACAGAAACCACCTACCGCGACTATTATAGTTGTGCTGCCAATAGGAGAAATAATTACATGAGTTTAAATTTTTGTTTTGTATAAAACATCTTAACAATCCAGCAGTAGTGGATGAATGGAGAAACACGGTTGTGGTTCAAAAAACTTAAAACTAATACACCTACATATTATATACCTACATAACTCAGTCAAACACATTATTAAAAAATTTATGCAAAAACAACTTTTATTGGTTTGAGAGATTCCAGCTTTCATTACAATTTCAATCTTAGGACTAATATTGAACTAGTGTCTTACAAATGACATTGAAATATTTAAGACACTAGTTCCATTCTTTGGCTAACTTTGATCAAGATGAACGTGGTTAAAATAATCACAAGGTAAAAACAAAACTCAAACAAAGTGATGCTTAACAATCCACATTGGTGGCTTTGCCCTCATCCTTGTGATAACGCTGCTATCTCAACTTCATCCTTGTGATAACGCTGCTATCTCAACTTCAGCCTTGTGATAACGCTACTATCTCAACTTCATCCTTGTGATAACGCTACTATCTCAACTTCATCCTTGTGATAACGCTACTATCTCAACTTCATCCTTGTGATAACGCTGCTATCTCATCTGCCACATACTACTTCTAACTGAGCTAACAACCTAAAACTGCCTTTTTCCAGGAGGGTTGTTTTTCATCGTGAACGGCGCAGAGAGGAAGTACGGCGGAGTGCCTGCCAAGGGATTTGTTCTGTCTGCATCAAACCTGCGACTGATAGCTGAGCTAGGTCAGGACCTGAGGATGCCGCACGACATGGCTGTGTCGGCCGACGGAAACTCTGTGTTTGTTGGAGAGATCGGCCCTAACTTGGTTCACAAGTATACACACAGTGAGTATAATTTTGATGGTAGGCTTCCACAGTAAAACAAATCTCGGTTTGCAGCCTCCCCTGCAATGACTCAGAGAGATGGGCGGGGTCGCCACAGTGGTGTAACTAGTCTGACTGCGCCCAAGTGCAAGTATTCCCCGTGCGCCTCTACCCCCCAATAACCTCCAACAAAACCAACAACATTTCTCCGTACTTCCACACTTCCTGGATACTATTTCACTACATACGACATTGTACAATCTATATCCAATTCGAGAAAGATTACATGAAGAAATATAATTTATTATGTACACAGTAATTTTAAAGTTAAATATTAACAAAATTATTATTCCAAAAGTTAATTGAAAGTTAAACATTATCAACCACCATTACCATAACTGAAGTAAGGATCACATTACAAACTTGTAATTAATAATGTACTTTTTTGGGCGATAAAACTAGTGATGGTCAGATCCGGATATCGGACTACTGGATCCACCGGATCCGAGCTAGAACCGGCACCGGATCGGATCCAAAAAATTCCGGATCTTGGGCTGGATCCGGTTTTGATGGATCCGATTTTTTCAAATTTTTTCCCGATTTTTTCCTAGCACAAAGCTGTCTGTATCACTGTACAACACCGATTTTTTTACTAACACAAAGCTGTCTGTATCACTGTACAACCCCGATTTTTTACTAAGACAAAAAGCTGTCTGTATCACTGTGCAACCCCAGTTTTTACCAACACAAAGCTGTCTGTATCACTGTACAACCCCGATTTTTTACTAACACAAAAAGCTGGCTGTATCACTGTACAACCCCGATTTTTTACCAACACAAAGTTGTCTGTATCAGTGTACAACACCGATTTTTTTAACTAACACAAAGATGTCTGTATCACTGTACAACCCCGATTTTTTACTAACACAAAGCTGTCTGTATCACTGTACAACCCCGATTTTTTTACTAACACAAAGCTGTCTGTATCACTGTACAACCCCGATTTTTTACTAACACAAAAAGCTGTCTGTATCACTGTGCAACCCCGAGTTTTTACCAACACAAAGCTGTCTGTATCACTGTACAACCCCGATTTTTTACTAACACAAAAAGCTGGCTGTATCACTGTACAACCCCGATTTTTTACCAACACAAAGTTGTCTGTATCAGTGTACAACACCGATTTTTTTAACTAACACAAAGCTGTCTGTATCACTGTACAACCCCGATTTTTTACTAAGACAAAAAGATGTCTGTATCACTGTGCAACCCCGAGTTTTTACCAACACAAAGCTGTCTGTATCACTGTACAACACCGATTTGATTACTAAACACAAAGCTGTCTGTATCACTGTACAACACCGATTTTTTTACTAACACAAAGCAGTCTGTATCACTCTACAACCCCGAATGTTTTTACTAGCACAAAGCTGTCTGTATCACTGTACAACCCCGATTTGTTTACTAAATACAAAGCTGTCTGTATCACTGTACAAACCCGATTTTTTTAACTAACACAAAGATGTCTGTATCACTGTACAACCCCGATTTTTTACTAAGACAAAAAGATGTCTGTATCACTGTACAACACCGATTTGATTACTAACACAAAGCTGTCTGTATCACTGCACAACCCCGATTTTTTACTAACGCAAAAAGCTGTCTGGCTGTCTGTATCATTCACAACCCCGAATGTTTTTACTAGCACAAAGCTGTCTGTATCATTGTACAACCCCGATTTGTTTACTAACACAAGCTGTCTGTATCACTGTACAACCCCGAATGTTTTTACTAGCACAAAGCTGTCTGTATCACTGTACAACCCCGATTTGTTTACTAAACACAAAGCTCTCTGTATCACTCTACAACACCGATTTGTTTACTAGCACAAAGCTGTCCATATCACTCTACAACCCCGATTTTTTACTAACACAAAAAGCTGTCTGTATCACTGTACAACACCGATTTTTTTACTAACACAAAGCTGTCTGTATCACTGTACAACCCCGATTTGTTTACTAGCACAAAGCTGTCTGTATCACTCTACAACCCCGTATATTTTTACTAGTGGGGAGCGAGCTGGCGTAGTGGCTAGAGCGCGGGACTTCGGTCCATGAGGTCCCGGGTTCGATCCCCGCCAAGTCACCAATGGATTTTATCTAAGTGATAATGCCGCGACCCCTAGGTCTAGCCTGAACTAATGTGAAAAACAATCCCAGGCTCATGCCTAGCGTCCTAGGACAAAAAAAAAAAAAAAAAAAACTAGCACAAAGCTGTCTGTATCACTGTACAACCCCGATTTGTTTACTAAACACAAAGCTGTCTGTATCACTGTACAACACCGATTTGATTACTAAACACACAGCTGTATGTATCACTCTACAACCTCGATTTTTTACCAACTATTAATACAACCCCGATTTTTCCAGATTTTTTTACTAACACAAAGCTGTGTGTATCCATGTACAAGACCGTTTTTTCCCCGAGTGTTTGTCTCTTGATGCAAACAACTTATATGGCAAGGCCATGTCTCGATATTTGTATCTAGATGCAAATAACTTGTATGGCAAGGCCATGTCTCAGTGTTTGCCTCTTGATGCAAATAACTTATATGGCAAGGCCATGTCTCAGTGTTTGTCTTTTGATGCAAATAACTTGTATGGCAAGGTTATGACTCAGTGTTTGTCTTTTGATGCAAATAACTTATATGGCAAGGCCATGTCTCAGTGTTTGTCTCTTAATTCAAATAACTTATAAGGCAAGGTCATGTCTTAGTGTTTGTCTCTTGGTGCAAATAACTTATATGGCAAGGCCATGTTTCAGTGTTTGTCTCTTGATACAAATAAATAACATATATGGCAATGGCATGTATCTTTCCGAACTGAATCCGACCCGATTTTTCGGATATCTTCACACCTCTAGTTTTTAGTTTTGTACCTGGATGATAAGCTAACGGCCTATAATTTTGTCTCAAAAATATCCCGTTAGTATTTTAATCTCACCCGAAGCTACGTGATAAAAAATAATAAAAGTATGATTTAAATTGGCATTCTGTTAATTACGTTTTTTTTAACCCGCCCTTATGACAGTGTGTATCTGGATCCGGATCCGAAGATCCGAAGATCCGGATCCAAATTTTTCAAGATCCGGATCCGGTACCGACATTTTCTTGGATCCGCCCATCACTAGATAAAACATAGACTACTTACATTTGATATTTATTCATTGTCCTATACAGTATAAATGATATCACAATCTACAACATAATGTTCATGTTCCGTTTCTCAAAATTTGATTCATTTTACTAGATAATGCATTCTTACAGTCAAAGAGCTGCCTACAGCTCTTTTAAAAGTTGAAGACTTTTAAAAGTTTCAGCAAAATCCCGTTAAAAACAAATATGTCAATCTTTGGTAGTTTATTTCATTGTTTCATCTCCTTGTTTTTCCTTTTTCGGAACTCGGCACAACTAGGTCTTTTATTTCCATCCATTTTGTTCAGTATATCATAATGAAATCCACTAAAACGTACAAATAAACGGTCCACTAATTTCAACTGACAAAATGTTACACCGACAAAATTTGTTTTGTATTGTTATAAAAGAAATAACACAATTGATCGTACAAAAAGGACTGAAAGGGATTTGTGGTCGTGGTTGCTAAAATAATACTGAAGATTTTATCCGTCTATCATTGTAGCTAACAATGATAAATAAACAAGAGCAGTCAATTCTTGTGATAAGAACGCGATAAATGCAGATATGCACCGTGGCACGATCACGATAATAGTAAACAAAAGAGACACCAACATTTTGTTGTGACTGTAACTGAATAGTACCACAAATATTTTTTACGTTTATTTTTGGTAAGCTACAGAGTTTTGCTTCAACATAATTTTTTGCTAAAATAATACCAGAAAATCGTTTTTTTTTTTTTTTTGCCCCCTAAGTCCTGCGCCCCAATGCACCGCATTGGTTGCATTGGTGTTAGTTATGCCACTGGGTTCTCAAACGTTAAACGAGATATCAATATTGTTCCACTTTTTACTCTAGCCAGTTGAGCAGCAACGATATATACAATTTTGTTTTAAGGGCGCCACTCCATTCCAGGTTCCAACAGATAAGGAACCCTACCTAATTGTTGCAGAGTAATTCAGAATACAAAAAATACTTATAAAGGGATTTAAATCAATCATCAATGCCTGGTCTGAATGCACAAAGCCTAAGCCAATACAGTAAAGGTCAAAGGTAACACAAAATATAAAATTGCAGTTTTAGTTGGCATCCGCAATTCCTAAGTCAACTGTCCATCAGTTGGCTTAAGTCAGTCTTCCATCACTTTATTTACGGTGATATCACAGTCCAAATTTTTTCTATCAAACCACAATATTCTGTTTTATACAGCATTGCCTCCAGAATTAATTCATCACATATGAAATAGGTTTACGTACCATATGTCGTCAACAAAAGTTGTTGCAACTTTTGTGATTTTACCAATAACATACTAAAGTTGCTCCCACTGCTTGTTCATGAAAAGAGTTGTTGACAAGCTAATGTGAGAAGGTATGTGTCAGATTGCTGATACAGTTTATTAAAATTGTATGAAATGGTAGTTACCATTGATTTTGATTACAGATGGAACTCTTGAGCCCGTCTCAAAAACTACAGAGATGCCCAAACCCCAGCCAGAAATGATAGCTCCTGTTTCGCCGCAATCGTTAAGTAAGAACAATATTACTGTCCTTCTTTTGAATGTTTCTCTACAGGCATTTCGCTAGTGTTAAGAATGTAAGTGAAATGCTAGTATTTAATACTTTTTTCCACAAAGAGTTCTCAAAACTATCATTTCAGCAACCTGGTAACTTTTTATAGCGATTCTTTAGACATTTAGAATACTCATAACATGGGCAACTACAGAGTCACTGGGGCGGAGCCCGAAAGGATTTTTGAGATAAGAATATGCCTAAATGTTAATCGGGAATGTAAGCTATCATCATGCCAAATTTCAGCCCAATCCGTCCAGTAGTTTATACGTGATTGAGCAACAAACAAACACACAAACTCACAAACATTCAGATTTATAATATTAGTAAGATTTACACATTTGTGACATTTTGCGCTGTATATGAGTGCCTTTTTAAAAAACATGTGTACGCATCACTTTGCATAATGCATATACCTAGTAAATTACCAAAGAATGGTGTGGACACAATTAGATAAACTAATTGTTTTATAGAGTGTGACTGCACTTAACACTTATTATTAAGTTTTGGCCAAGAAAGAAGAGACTCTATTGTACTTGTGTGCCCAATCAGGTACATGGTTTTATAAGTTTGATACGATCTCGTGGATTATATCCAGTCGGGAACACAGTATAATACATTAAATTATAACGAAAAAAGTATTTTTTTTTTAAACTAGCAGAGTATCCGTTCTTTGTACGAGATTGGCGTATAAGTATAAAATGTGTATTGCAGTTGTACTCGTGCTTTGTTTTTGCAATGGGTGAGGCCACTGTTTGTGAAAATTTGGTTCTTTTAATTTACGGTATGCTATAGTATAAAACATCTACCGTGGCCATAATAATGTTCTTCACTGCACCTAAACAAAACACTGCACCTAAACAAAAGAAAATAGTAAATTACCAAATATTCGCACAATATCACGAATCACAAATTATTTATAAATAAAACATAAGCATTACTCTAAACGATCCTAATTTGACAGTGCCCATTGTGTTACAGAGCTACTCCTCTGTTAATAATGAACGGACATTTACAAAGGATGTGTCAAAATAAAGTATTTTTTGTGTAGACGCCCCCTTTCACCAATTCCTGTAATAAAGGCCTCAGACTTTGCCCCACAGGCTATCAAAATCCTAATGTATTTCTTACAAAGAAAAGATTTTGTTTACTTAAACAGACGAACAATTTGTATTTAATACAGCTTTTCATAGTAAACACATGATACACACAAGAGCGTTTGTTTTCGATTATTGGGGTGATTGATTACATCATCTTTGAGTTGACTCTTACTAAAGTATTATTTTCATGCTTCATAAATATTTTATATAATGTTAAAAACAGGGAATAGTTATTGCCGATGCAAAAACATACTCCTAACTTACATACTACCATGGCGATTTATACACAAGAACAACAACATTGAGGCGAACTGTCTCCCACTTGTTTCAGCTCTCCTTTCTTCATCAGCTCTCAACACTCTCATGTCTTTTGTTACTTCAACTTTCCACCTCTTAGCGAATGTGTTAGCTTGTATTGTATTCTTTCTCAACTATTGTAACAATGAATGTAGTACGGTAGTTTAAAAGTAAATAATTTGTTGCAATATCTTTTTTTCCGTAGGTCTACGTAGCACCCAAGGCACAGTGTTGCCAGCTGTTCTTGTGACATGTGCTGCCATTTTGTTTGGAGCGGCCATCGTGACGGCAGCACTCGTCTACTCCCGGGCTCGTAGGAGAGGTATGTCCTTGGCAGAACAGAGTTTTCGACTCGAAAGTAGCCGGCTGGTCGACGAAGAGGACGCGTAAAGCGCTGAACACTTTAGATCTTTGTTAGCTGCGACTATGTTTCCAAAACTTTGTTTCTGTGCCTGATGTTGTATGTCGTGTGGTTTTATTTTTCATGTAAAACTGTTACAAGGAAAGTATTAAGTCGTGCGAGGGATTATTGTGGACATTTTCCATCACAGTTGTAATCAAGTTTCACAACGTTTTCTGGAATCTGATCCAGTTCTCAGGTGAGAAAGCGCCTAAAACGTTACAAAATTAGTACCTACACAAACCCAGTCAAAGCTGGTAGTTGAAACAAGAAAAACAACAAGAAACTCTGTACAGAGAACTGTTAAAATAAGTAAATAAGTAAGAAAAATCCTAAAAGGAAGCCATAACAAGTTTAAGATGAACACAATGGACACTTCTACATAACATGGTGGTTCGAGCAAGACTGAGGTCACATGTCCGTTGAGTACATAAATGACAACAAGAAACGGAAATGTGTAGAATTTATTTAAGAATTTTTTTTACTTGTACTCTGTGTGGCATTGCGCTGCCATTCTGGAAGCAAATTCAACTCAACGGTATACGGTAACAAAATTTCAGAAACATAGCTGCAACTTGTCGGCCTTATACTTACAAATCTTGGTGTATTCCATCACGACTGCTTGCCTCATCTCATGGTCAATGTGTTAAGCTGATTATGTTTAAGTTACGCTCTGTTCTGTCTCAACCGTTGTCCATTCTTTACTGCAAGAACTACTCAGGTTGCTGACATGAAAAGTTTTAGACCGTATTTTACATTTTACCTGATATGATAGCTAAATATTAAATACTAATCATTGACGTTCTTCTCGATAATATCATTTTAAAGCAAAATAGTTTTATGTACGTAAAATGTACGTATGTATGTAAAATAGTTTTATCTACAATAGTTTCCATGCTATTTTTAGTTTTAGACTCACCTTACCCGACATAACCATTTAGTTAAATATTAATTTATTACATTTTTATCTGTATGGCACATTCAAATTTTAAGAAAAGTAGTTTCTTTTAGTCTACATTATTTTTTTTGTTTTCAAACCATTGACAGTTTGGTTTTTATTTCACACCATATCAAACAGATAAGTTCTGAAACACAATTTATACTGAATTCCCATATGATAACAACTAGATTTGTCTACTATGTATTTTGTACAAATTAGTATCTAGGCTGTAACCGTTGTTTAGATATATGAGTTGTCATATGTAGGTATTTCCTATGGAAAGCTAACAAGATTATCTCATTCCAATTTAGATGTATATTTAAACAGTATAGCTGTTACCCACGGGCTTTACCCGGTTTGACTTCATAACTATTAGTAAAATTATTTATTGGTTAAGTTAAGCTGAAATAAACAAAACAGAATCTTATCTTACTAATATTATAAATCTGAAAGTTTGTGAGTTTGTGTGTATGTTTGTGTGTATGTTTGTGTGTGTGTTTGTGTGTGTGTTGCTCAATCACGCATAAACTACTGGACGGATTGGGCTGAAATTTGGCATGATGATAGCTCACATTCCCGATTAACATTAAAGCATATTCTTATCTCAAAAACCCTCTCGGGCTCCGCCCCAGTGGCTCTGTAGTTCCCCATGTTAATCTTATGATTTTTCATATTTAAAAGGAATTAATGAATCTTAACAGCTGTTTCAATTAAACAAGTTGGTTATTTTCTATGATGTTCAATAGCATAAAAGTTACAAGAATTACCAACAGGGTGCAGCACTATTTTTTTTTTTTATTTATGACAACAGCTAATTTCCAACCAAAAGGTGAGTGAGCGTAGCGAACGAACTTCAACCTGGAGGCGAGTTAGCGTAGCGAACGAGCTAACCTGAAGGCAAGTGAGCGCAGCGAACGAGCTCCAACCTAAAGGTGAGTGAGCGTAGCGAACGAACTTCAACCAGGACGTGAATGAGCCATGCGAATACTTATGAAGTTAAACGGGGCGAAGCCCGCGGGTACAGCTAGTACAGTAATATAAACAAATAAGTACAGCTGAGGTATTTTTAACATTAGGTACTGTATATGGAAAGTTCCCTTTACGAAGGAATTATGACCTTAAAGGGCAATTTATGAAATAATAGATAGTTTTGCGCAAGGTTTCTTGTCATGACAAACATTTTAAGTATATGGTTTATGGGGGTGTGACTTGTAGTTTTCTCAAAAGTTCATGGGTACTTTTGGCTTTATATATTACTAGCAGAGTACCCGTCCTTCGAACGGGGTTGGCGTATAAGTATGCTTATTGCAGTTATACTCGTGCTTTGCGTTTGCAATGGGAGAGAACTCGTTTTAAGAAAAGTTTGTTTACTATAATTCACGGTAAACTATTACAGTATATAGCACATCTCCCATAGCCATAATGTTGTACCACTGCACCTAAACAATAGAAAAAAGAAAAAAGTTAAGTTCTCACAGCTTTGTTGCTGCTTGGTTCAAATTAGCTATTGTCATAAATGTAAAAAGAATTAATAGTGCTGCACCCTGTTGGTAAACCTTATAACCTTTTAATGCTATTGAATATCATGGAATAAACTTGTGTAGTAGGAACAGCTGGCAAATTCCTAAATTCCCTTTAAATATGAATTCTCATAAGGTTAACATGGGAAACTCTAGAGCCACTGGGGCGGAGTCCGAAAGGATTTTTGAGAAAAAAATATGTCTATATGTTAATTGGGAATGTGAGCTATCATCACACCAAATTTCAGCCCAATCCGGCCAGTATTTTTTGTGTTTACTTGTCACAAACATACATACATCCATACATCTAAACTTTCTCATGTATAATATTAGTACTGTAGGATATAGATTCGTTTCTATTATTCAGTATTTTGTATAGTTATTTCAGAATTAGGTAGCTGCAAGCTTGTGAATGTCTAGAAGGAAATAAAATAAAAATCTTAAATACATTACAGTTTAGTACAACCCCATACATCCATTTTTAATGGATACACCAAATCAACTACAGCACTACTGGCATGTAAACCAGATATTTTGTGATTTCATTACTTGCCCACATTTTACAGTGATAACGAGCATTTATTAAGTTATGGTCCTATTGAGTGGATATGGTGTTAACACATGTAGAACATATCAGTCTTATGAGAGTAGATTATAGTACTTAACCCATTGGCGCCGACTTACGAGCGTTACTCGTACGGCCACTGCAGGCCAGGCAAGTGAATTACGAGCGCCGCTAGTGTCACCGCTACACAGCGCCATTAGTTTTTTTTTTCTCCCTTTTTGTTTCTTTTTACTTTTACTATGTTTATAAATACCTTGCTTATTGTTTTGTGTTAATCATTTATTTTTGCGAATAACAAACAAGTTTGTGTTGCCATAGAATCCAGCTTTCCCCCTAAGTCAGCTGCGTTAAGGTACAACAAACATTTTTTTTCTATGTTGTTAGTATTACTTATAAAAGTAAACAACTTGTGATTTTTATATGTAGGGAATCAATTGAACTTAATAACAGTAGTGTCATTTGGTGTATGGATTAATCTAAAAATGTTTAAATCAAGTTTACTTTAAAAATAATTGTTTAAAAAATTTTAATTTTGTAATCTTAATATTTTTTTTCATTTTGTGTATCTAATTACCACTTTTTTGCAGACAATTTTACTGCGAACAAACTGGCAAAGGATTATTAATTTATTACCTACGGTTTTCTGTGTATAACAATTCTTAGAGTAAAAGTCTACAAATTCGGTAAAATTAATTGTCTACAGAGGGCACTGCAGGCAGCGCATTAATGCCTTCCCCAATGGGTTAACATAAAAAAAAATCAAATCATATTGTTAATCTTTCCATAACTATAACATAAGATAAATTTAATATAAGGCTCTGTGCAGTATTTTCTTGGTACTTAACTGTTTTGATCACAATTATTTTACTCGTCGAAATAAAATATTAGTCTATAGAAAAATAGGTTCAAGTAGAAAACCATAATTTGTCAACTCTAGATTGTGAAGGAGAATATTTCTAACCAAGACTCAAGTACTGTAATTAATTAACTACAATAAACATAATGTCAATAACAGTATTAATTTACTTCGATTAATACCGTTCATAAAGTTAGTTTTGCTAAAGGTACTATAAAAAATATTAATCATGTATGAAAAACCAACTGGAATACTACCTATGCTAATATAATTAATTAGTCACTAGGTTATTACCAAAGACTGAAACCATTTTGTAAATTAAAATTTCTGATTTTTCTAAATCAGCAATGTATATTTAACTGTTTTATATTTTCTTTTCATAATTGTAATCAAACACCACAATGGTAAGCTTTTTTCAATCCAATAAGGTACTAATCTGAATAGAGTGTACGTTTCTATTTTGAAAATCACTTTTTGTATTATTATTATACGGGTCTAATGGTCATAGGGTAGGACTCAAAAGTAAAAGTTCAAAACAAGCCAGATGAAAAGACTAAGCAGATCTAATGTTGTCTAGGTTAAGACATTTAAAAATCAAAACTTGAAGATCTGGTAAATTTTAGAATTGAAGTTATATCCAGATTTGGAGTTGTATAAATCTGAATACATCTTGTGATCATTGCAAATTGCAATACCGGTTTAGCAAGAACAAAAATGATATCTTCATTTGTTGTAACAAAATAAAAGTATTCTATTCAAATCAGAAAGATACTCACTAACAAAACTTAGTTCATAGTATCAATGTTTTATTGTTGTTTTAGTTGGTTATTTTTGTTTTGCCTGTTACAAATGTATTTTATTGTTAGTTGTATTATACTTTACTATTCACTAGGCTGTTTGATATTTTGGTTTTGTTCAATATTTTACAGCAAACCTCCGATCATCTAGATCTTTGTGGCTTAGATAAATATTGAGCTTTAATTTATAATCCATTCTAAAATAATATTTCCTCAAACTAAGTAACATGTTACAATGAATGATGGTCTGATGAACGAACGAATGACAAGGTCTGAGCGATTTTTGTTAAGACTAGGCTTATCTGAAAGGGAAAGAGCCCCATTCAGGCTAGAAACCAAGAATCTCTTCATAATGCTAAGCTGTTGAATGATCCAGTTTTTTTCTGGTGACAAAGGCATCAAACCTGAAGGTTCATTTTACGCTACCCAAGTAGTTGGAAAAACATTTTCATCTCTGGAGTTATGAAAAGTTTTCATCAACACTTACATGAACACAAGCTTGGGGACATCTAAGAAAAATTTTGACAAATTGTAATAGGTTCAACTTATAAATTGTAATAAGACGCATGGTGTAGCCGACAGCATGTGAGTCATGATTAAACATGTGTCATTACTGGAGCGGGAAGTATCAGCTGTCTCCCACTTGTGTTGTCTCCTCACTCTGGTACCGCCATCCATTACTGTACTACTATTGTTGTATTATAAATTTAATTTGATTCGAAAGATAATAATTTGTCATTGGGCAAATCTGTGAAGCCAATGACCTTTAGATGAGTCTTTGTTAAATGTATCTGTTTTGATGTTCGTGTAAGTTAGAGTTAATGACGACTATTACTAACTCCAATAATTGGAAGAGGTTTTTTATGACTACTTGGTTACACTGAAAACTAACCTTAATGCTAAAATTTTAGTTGCCTTACAAAAACATATTATTATACAGTAGGCCTACAACTGATATATTTAACCTTTTTGTTTGTATATAACGTGATCCAGGGGCTAAACAAATGCAATAAGTTACACAGTTTGTTAAATATTTCACTGTCACTGACAACCCAGGAAGGTTTAATATAGGAAGAAAGATAAAACATACCTCTTTCATCTCAACTCCAACCTTCTTTGCTTGAAAATGATGACAGTAACAGCAGTAAAATATTATTATTATTGTTTATAGTGTTTTCGTTTCCATGCCATGATGGTCTCTTACCCATTCAGGAAAGCTTAAGTTATAACTTATAGAACTAACAGAGAGTATTTTTGCCAAGATTTAAAGTAACTATTATAATTCATCTAGCTAATGAGACTTTTATTTTAGTAAAGACATCAGGGGTTTGTATAATTTTGATCTCACACATTTTACGTTTGTTAACTCATTCACATGTATTGTGTTATTTTCACATTTTGGACTTGAAATTGTTTGCGCAGATATATTTTGTAATAAAAAAAACTCATTCTATTTTTTATTGTTTTGATTTTTCCCTGCATGCAGTTTTCACTACCATTTTTACTCTCCATAATGAGTTTTGCTATTGAATTTTAATTTTTTTATAGGTTAAACAAATAACTTTACTACAACTAAACTAAAAGATAAAACAAAAAAAAACACTTGGAGACACTGAAACTTGTAAAATTTGTTTTTTTTTTCAATTGTGTATAAATGGTGATAATACTAAAGTTGTGAAATGAACATTTAAAGCATTCTCAATATCTAATGCTACACATTATTAATTAAGTATATACAAGAATGTACTAAATGTGTCATAACTATTTGTTTATAAGTTTTAAAAGGATAGTTTTACTGAATAGTTAAAAAAATAAATGTCTGTTTCATTAACTTATTCAAGCAAGTACTGTATCAGTAATACAAATTTGAAGAATACAATAGCGCATTGATATAGTTCTTAATTTTGCTTAACCTTTGAACTACCGATCGGTCATTTATGGCTGATCAGGGTCCTTTTTGTAGTGAAATCAGTCAACATATATTCATAGTATTTTACATATATTCAAGCTCATAATCAACAGATCGACTTGTTTAAGCATGGATGGGAAGTTAAAGAATCTTGACTACCCTGCTAAGCCTGTACTTTGTTGTTGGGTTGGCGTAGTTGAATTCTTGTTTTCTTTGACTGCTGACTTAAAAATTCAAAACAGCCGGTGATTATAAACAAACAAAAAACCTTCCATTTATTATGGGAAATTTAAAACAATATCTATTTCCAAAAAGTAGATAAGTATATTTGTATAATCCATAGAAAATGTAAATAGTAAGAAAATTGTTGGTACAACCTATAAATATAAAGTTGTCATAAATTGTGGTTAGGTTTTCCTACCTATACAAATAGATACTGCAAATTGTACTGGCATTTTAGAGAACCTAACATTGAGTTCCAGAACGAACACACTCTAAAGACAATTATTTTTTCTCTTAAAATATTCTGTTATGTTTTGTTTGATTTTAGAGTTTGATTTCAGTTCCACTTATTTCTTCATTCATCTTTTTTTCCGTTACACGAGTAAGTATTTGTTATTTATTTTTTTATTTTATGGTAGAAAAATTATGAAAGATGACTTGCATAACATTAGTTACTGTCAAAATCCATCTCATTTTATATCTAAGTAAATTTTCCCAAACGGAAGTGTTATTTTGTTTATAGAACAGCCTTGTTGCTGTAGTTTTGAGTGATTTTGCAAAATTATTTTTAACTGAAGAAATAACTACTTGGGGAATTCGCTGTAACAGAGTGAAAAAGTATATTTCATCATTAGGGCGTAAAGTTAGTGACTTTTTTTCTACCTGAGCTCAAGTTTCACGAACGAGGCAAAGCCGAGGTCAGAAAATGAGTGAGGATTGAAAATAAACTTTTGGCCCATATGATGAACTAAATTTGTTATCGTTTGCTTATAATTGAAGTTTACAACTGACTGTGTAAGAGCTGACTAAAAGAGTCCCTATGGAGTACAAGAGATACTTTAGACCAGCTACAAATGTATTAATAATGGCTGTTTTTGCTGCAGTATAACAAAAAACATTTACTAGGTGCTCAGTTACATGTCAATTATGTCTTAGGTTGCGGACACTGCAGCGGTCGGCGCTGGATGCTGGGTCGTAGTCCAGCTGAGGGATTCATGATTGGTCACCTCCTCGGACAACATCAAGGCTTTGAGAAGCTGAGTACTGCGGAAGAGAGCGAGGAAGAGATCACCAGTCTACAACCATTTGCATAGTAAATCCACGCAGCATGACATCTATTGTTGAGAGTGATATTGTAGATTTATCTCACGGTTATGAGAACTTGAATCGTAGGTCCTACAAAATTCTTCCAGTTTGAATGACAGGTTTTGATCATAGAACTTTGTCATTCTCCGATCATTGTCTCCATCAAACATCAACAGTTCTATGTTTAATGTTTGGTGAGTCGGTGGCTCAGTTGGTAGCGTCACAGACTTCGGGCCCAAGGCAGCGATGTCCTGAGTTCGGATCCTGGTTACTGCCGTAATAGTATATTACGTTACTAGTCCTGAAAATAAGTGTTTACCGGACAAGTGTGGTCGTTCCCGTGCGAGACGAAGTCGAGTACGGGATTACCATACGAGTCCGGTACACACATTTTGGACGAGTGACGTACGATAGTTTACGCCATACTACTAAATCTGTACAAATCCTAATATTTCCACCAACTAAGGACTAAAAATCACTAGTCATTGAGAGGTTATGTTTTTGTTTATAACTCCTCATTGCCACCTACATACTAAATACAGTACAATCAGCTGATTGGTGTCCGGTAAAACTCATTGCAGCACAGTAGTACGCAATGAAACCCCATTTGAATAAGCTGGCGGCAAACAGCTGTTTTCTGGACTAAATACTTGCGTGGGAAGTTCGTCAAAATAATGTAGTGTGGCGTAAACATTTTTTCAGTACAGTTCACCTCCGTACTGTACCGGCTCATCCCTTGCTTTGCTGGATACGCTCCACGCACAGGCAGGTAGTCTATGTGGACGGGCAAATGCAAGGGTAAAAGAGGCCGCCAACCTCTTAAAAAAAAGTCAGTCTTAAATTTTAAAAGACCATGGAGAACACAGTGCCAAAAATACGTGCTGAGATTAGTTTTGAATTTTTACTTTAGAAAGTAGTAGTTACAGGAAAATATTTAGCTGTTTGAAAACTTAATTTCCTGTTAACATTTTCAGTTTCTGTTCAATAAACATTGGATTGAGATATTAGTTGTCACACATAACACAGTAAGCCTAGTGAAGTGGCATGTGGCAGGAATTCAATATGTACGGTATTACAATTAAACGCAAGTGTTCACAATCATGGAGTAAGTTAATAGGTGTCGAAGAGTATATTTCAAAGACAATGGATCTTACTCTTTGACAGAAAATGTTAGTGTTTGTATTTCTTGCGAGACAGCCCTATTGTGGGGAATTTATGTTAATTAGAAAGCAATGTGGACTGTATTATAGTAATTTTGAATTGGATACACTAACCTTTTGTTATTAAACTGATGCGTAGACTGGGGGCCCCCTTTGATGAATCCTGAAATGCTATAATGTTGATAAGTTCACTTTTTCACACTATATGATGTTAAAAAACACTTCAATTGTCTTTATAATAAGTTATAAGCCAGCGGTAAATATTTATGTTGGTAAAGAGGTTTATGGTGTTTGAAAATGTAGGAGAAAAGGCATGTTAAGTCCTCATAGCAACAGGACTTGCCCAAGAGTGTGCCACTACTCTACTGAAGGAAGGAGTTGGTCATGTGATACATATCAGTGACCAATCAGAGAGCTAGTCTTGAAACCATTGGGGTTTGAAGATACTGATGCACTCTATGAGGAAAACATTTAACTATTTGAAATGGTATTTAAATGGAGATTGTGGTGAAATCAGTTACATATTATTAGAGTGCATTAAAATTAAAAATTAATATAAGAATACTTAGAACAAAACAGTATATATATTTGACATACCGGCCCCCTTGAACCGATCCGGTTCAACAGAAAAACAAGAACCATGCATGATTGAAATATGAGGAATAAAAATAAGGAAGGGGGTTGGTAGCCAGAGTTATGTTAGGTTAGTTTATAGGAAGGCGGGAAACCTTAACTACAGGTCGTGTTAAGGTTTTTGTAGATGTCTTGATTTGAACGACTCTTACAGTGCCATCTTGACCAGGAGAGGCTGAGATGATTCGACCAAGCATCCAAGCAAGAGGTGGAGTATTGTCTTCATGAATGATTACTAAGTCTCCGATCTTGAGGTTTTCTTCTGGAGTAATCCACTTAGATCGTTCTTGGAGGGTCTGCAGATACTCTCTATGCCATCTGTTCCATATGTGTTGAGCAAATGCGTGCACAAGTTTCCACCGTTTCAGGCGATTTACAGAGATATCCGTGAGATGAGGTTCTATAAGAGACGTCAGAGGTCCTCCTGTCAGGAAGTGTCCTGGAGTTAATGCTTCAAGGTCAGATGGGTCTGCAGAGAGTGGTGTAATAGGCCTTGAATTTAACATTGACTCAACACGAGCAATCAGTGTTAGAAACTCTTCATAGGTAAGGATTTGTGTACCTATGACTCTCTTCAAGTGGTATTTGGCACTTTTTATTGCCCGCTCCCACAAGCCTCCTTGGTGTGGAGCTCGAGGTGGTATGAAATGGAAAGTTATTTTGTTGTTCTGGGCAAACCGTTGTGTTTCAGGTTTTATCATTAGGTCTTGGAAGCATTTTTTAAGCGTTGAGGCTGTTCCAATGAAATTGGTGGCACAATCTGAATATAAATCTGATATAGTGCCTCGTCTGGCAGTAAACCTAGTTAAGGAAGCAATGAATGCATCTGCTGAAAGATCTGTGACCATCTCCAAATGTACAGCCTTTGTGGCAAAGCATATAAATAAACAGAGATAGACTTTAATTGGCTGCAGTCGACGTAAGATGTGAACCTTTACTGTAAAAGGTCCAGCATAATCCATAGCGGAAACATTGAAACAACGAGTAGCCGTAACACGTCCAGCAGGTAAGTCGCCCATTAAAGGTGCTGTCATTTTAGGCTTAGCTTTGAAACATCGAATACATTTAAATATTCTGGAGCGTATAACACTTCTCTGAGACAATATCCAGTAGTTTTGCATTAACATTGCTTGAAGGAGTTGTGGTCCTGCATGTAGATATATTTTATGAAAGAAATCAATCAGCAGGTGGACTACAAAATGGTTCTTGGGAAGCAAAATGGGATGTTTTGCACTGTACTTAAGTGGTGAATTTTTCAGTCTTCCACCAACTCGTATGATTCCTTCTTCATCTAAGAAAGGTGCAAGCCGTTGTATTTGGGTAGAACATGTTTTCTTAGCTTGAAGCGATTTGATCTCATTTGCAAAGCATTCCTTTTGCACACACCAACATATGCGATTTGTTGCACTTTCAAATTCCTGTTTGGTTAAATGAGTGGTTATTTTTGCCTTTAGCTTTAGACATTTAATAAAACGAAGAACATAAGCCATAACGTTTACAAGTTTAGACCATGAGGAATATTTACTTAAAAAATGTAGTTTAGAGTCATCGGTTGATGTTATGAGTTTGAATGTCTCTGATTTCAGTTCATTAAGAGATTCTTCAGGATCTGGGGAAAGTTTAGTTTGTGGCCATGTAATTGAGTCCCATTTAAGCCACTTAGGTCCTGACCACCAGAGCTCATGATTCATTAAAGCGGATGGTGTTAGGCCACGAGAGGCGCAATCAGCAGGGTTCTCTGCTGAGGAAACGTGTCTCCATATGCATGAAGGAGTAAGCTCTTGTATCTGAGCTACTCTATTTGCTACAAATAGTTTTAGCTTGTAAGATGGGGTGTGGATCCATGACAGAGCAATCATAGAATCTGACCACGCATTGATAGCTGTAATATGGTACTGTTTATCAAACTTATTGATGCAATAGTGAAGCAACTTGGCAAGTAAATGAGCGCCGCATAGTAGGTATTGTAAGCCTAGGTATTGTAGTGCGTTTAAGCGGAGCTACCTTTGATTTTGCAATCAACAAATGAGTTGAAACATTGTGATCAGAATCTTCTAACCTTAAAAAGACACATGAAGCATAGCCTGATTCACTAGCGTCTGAAAAGCCGTGTAATTGTATATTACTGGCGTTTACCATGGGAAGGTAGCGAGGTATTTTTAGATTGTCAATTTCTGAGAGCTCACTGATAAATTGAGACCATTTCTCAGAAAGTGTCTCAGGAAGCTGAGTATCCCATTCTAACCCTAAACACCAAATGTGCTGCATTAATGCCTTTGCCCAAAAAACCAGCGGACAAATTAGCCCCATGGGGTCATAAATCTGAGCAATAAAAGAAAGAAGTGCTCTCTTTGTATGTACTCCTAAGGGTTTGGGTATAGCATAAGAAAATTTGTCTGTTTGTGGTATCCATTTTAAGCCAAGGACACTGTGACAAGGTTGATCAGTGCTTCGAAGCATGAGGGGAGTTTCACGATGATCCAGCGGAACATTTTCAAGAAGTTTTTCATTATTAGAAGACCATTTTCGTAGCTGAAATCCTCCTTTGAGTAGTAAATCGATAACATCTTGCTGTAAGTCAAGGGCTTCATTTAAAGTGTCACAACCTAACAAAGCGTCATCAACATAGATTTGATCTTGCAGAGCTTTGGCTGCTAGCGGATGGTTATCACCTTCATCGGCCATTAGCTGTTGGATAACACGATTGGCTAAATATGGACTTGAACTCATGCCGTATGTAACCGTGGTTAACTGATACACTTTGATCGGATGAGAGGGCTCTTTTCTCCAGTAAATCAATTGAAATTTTCTATCATCTTCATGAATTAATATCTGCCTAAACATTTGTTTTATGTCACATGTGAAGACATATTTATGTTGTCGAAAGCGAAAAATTATATCAGTGGGATCGTTATGCAGTTTTGGGCCTTGGTGTTGTAAGCTGTTAAGCGAGATTCCAGTAGAAGTTGGGACCGAACTGTTAAAAACCACTCTTAGCTTGTCTCCTTTAAAAACACCATGATGAGGTAGGAAGAAGTGAGGTTCGTCTGAGGGCGGAATTGATTCACAAATTTGTAAAGAAAAATAAAAAAAAAGACTCTTTACTTGTTACTTCATTTCATCAAATAAAATCACCTCACACCTATATGTAATACAATTTAGGTATTTCATACAGGTGTGAGTACAACAAAAAGTTGCCCCCTGGTGGGGTTTTAATGAAATTTAATTTATTTAATCAGACTACTGAGGACATTACAATCACAGAGCTGCGCAGTGGAAATAAAGATGTTAAGTGTGGGCCCTGTAATTAAATATCCCAGAAGTCCGATTTATGGACCGTGAGAGGTCTGATATGTTGTCCTCCTTCACACCTTCTTCAGCTTAATTCTAACACTTCTTAAAACTAATAGATGTGTCTATTTGAACACTCCATGAATTAAAATGTGCTGTTCTGATGAAAGATTGTGATATGAATTGAT